TGCCAGCACAGCCCTGTGTTCTCTTCCTGGGCACCTGGCCGGCGTCGGGTCGGTGTCCGTGAGCTGCAGGCCGGTGCCAAGGCCGTCCCTGCGGGGTCACCCAGGCCCGCACGGGCAGCACATGGAGACGTCGGGGGACGAGCGCACGCTCCGTGGGGACTCACAGCGTTCGGGGTGTCCCCGCCAGGCCCTTGAAGGGCGGGCTCCAGGGCTGGAAAGTGGATGGGGTCATCTGAGGGCACGCAGAGAGAAGGGGGACGAGGATGGAAAGACCTGGAGACACAGAGTGGCGGGGCTGCACATCGCTGCAATGTACCAGTAGCCCACCTTGGTGTTGAGGGGAAATCTGGAAACACGTTTAGGGCCAGAGCTTGAAACGTGTCTCCTGCCCGAGGTGCAGGCCACGCCAGTGTTTGCAGCCCGGGTGCCCAGCGGGTGGGCCTCGGGCACGAGGAACGGGGTCCCCTTCTCGGAGCTGCTAGGAAGGAGCGAGGACAAGCCCCTCACAAAGGAACTGTCCGTGGCTGCGTTTGTCGTCTCCCTGACAGGGGAAGGGATGTCGGGCCCGTACTGTGTCCCGGTTCTGGCCGAAGGGCACCGTGCACGAACCTCCGCAGACCCAGGGGCGCTGGGTTCGGGGCTCACTGGGCGTTCTCCGGGGGCTCAGCGTCCCCGCCACGGAAGCCCTGCGCAGGAGGACGGGGACGCGGGGTCCCTGGCCGTTCGGCGTGCCCGGTTGTCCCTGGTGGCCCGGGTTTCTCCGGGGGCCTCGTCCGAAGCCCCCCAGGCCGTGCCCGTGCTCATCCGGTGTGCTTCCTTCCGGTCCCGCGCCGCTGGGTGGGCGCCCAGGAGGTGGCCCTGGGTGCCGGCTTGGCCAGCACGGGTTTGGGAGATGAGTTTCCGTACCGTGCCCCTCTGGTTTTCACCGGCTCTGGTCTGTGCTTCCTGGCGCCCTTCCCGCTGCTGGGTGTCGCCGCGTGAGGGGAGCTAAGGCTGTGTGTGCGCGGGCGTGTCCGTAACGTGAACCACAGCGGTGTGTGCTTGAGCGCGTTCACGCCTCTGAGAGCCCTCAGCAGCATCGCTTACAAAGGGTGTTTTAGTGGCTCTTTGTTAAGGGCAGAGATGCTTAGTTTCCTTTTAGTTTACCTGTTCCCTCAGTCCCTCGGGGGTGTCCAGCCTGCGGCCCGCAGGCTGCCTGCGGCCCAGCACACAATCGTAAACGCGCTCACAACATCCGGAGACAGTTTTGTGATTATGTGTCGCAGCGTATTTAACGTGGGGCCCAAGACAGTTATTCCAGTGTGGCCCAGGGGTGCCCAGAGGCTGGACACCCCGGGTGGGAGAATGCCTAGTGAGCATTCTGAAAATGTTTGTAGAATATGGAAATTTAAATTATGCAAAATTGGCTGTTAATCCTTGTTTAAATTCTGTACAGCTTCCCGGTGGCCCTCTGATCTTCAACACTCTGCAGCAGCAGCAGCAGCAGCAGCAGCAGCTACTGCCTCCGTTTCCCGCCCCGCCGCCCCAGCCGCCCGCAGCGTCCAGCCCGCAGCAGCCAGGGGAGCAGGTCTGTGCCTTCCCAGCCCCGTGTGCCCGGGCTCCGCCGTGGCGGCGTCCTGTCAGTGTGGGGCATGTCTCGGGGGCCTGTGCGCGGTGTATTTGCGTGCACCGAGTTCCTGTGCGGTTGCTTTATTGACAAGAATAGCTGTTAATTACTCTGACCCTCACAACACCGTACTGAAGACCTGTTGTCACTTCTGCCTCCCACGGCAGAGACGGTTGCAGAGGAGACCAGTGGTGACTCACGCCCAGCCCTGCCCAGGCCTCTCTGCCCCGGGCTGCTGTTCCCCACCCGGCCCTCACGCTGCCGGTCACGGTGTTCGCTCCTGGAATCAGGTGTCCCAGTCACCGTGGAGCTTCTGCAGCGTCAGAGTCATCTAGAGTGGGGTGGGATAGAAGGGCAGGGAGTTTAGGGTAGAAGGAAGGACCACGGGCCTTTCTGAGTCTCTGCTGCCCTTCCCCTGGGCCACGCCCCCTGTCACCCCAGCGCCCGGTCAGCGCCCGGTCAACGCCCGGAACCACCACCAGCCGGCCCTCCCCGGGGCCTGGGGGCCTGCCGCCTCCTTTCCTGACTTCCTGTGCTCTCTGGACACGCGACACAGTGTTGCTAAGACTGTCTTCATTAAACTTGAAGAAATAGTTTTGACGGAGCTCTCTAGGGAAGCTTTAGGGTTACGACTAGAGCATCGGACAGGAAGCCGGTACGGAGCCGCTGCTGAGACGCTGGCTTCATCCCCTGCCGCAAAGCCCGGGCTGTCCCTGCCGACGCCGAGCGCCCTGGGAGTCCGTCTTGGTGCCGCGCTCTTCCCGAGACCCAGCCTGACGGAGGGGGGGTGTCGCTCTCCGCTGTCTGCCAGCACAGAGACGGCCTTCTTCCTTCACAAGTCACGTGTGGTTTTTCCACTCAGGGCTCTGAGCAAGGCGCCCCCGGCCAGGAGCAGGCCTTGCCCGCCCCGCACGCCGCCGTCCTGGGCCTCGCCGGAGCGGGGGGCCTCCTGCCGCCGCAGGCAGCCGGTTGGTATCCGCGCCACTTCCCGGGCTGGGTGTCCTGAGTGTGGAGTCGGGGTGGGGCCTCGCCCTTTTGAGTCGTTTTCCTTCGCTCGCCAACATTAACTAGGAAAAAGCACTTAAGTACACTTAACTAAAGTGTAACGCGTCACCTGTTAAGTCAGTTTATTGATAGCCCTGAGAATCTCTTCCACTGACTATTGAAATGAAGTGCTTTGACCTGCACGTACAAACAGCAGTTATGTTTTGCTTACGTTGCAGCTGGTTGGCAGACCGTTACCCAGTTGCCCAGCCCCCTAGGGAGCTGCCGCGGCGGTCAGCGCTCCAGTCTCTCTAGGGGGCTGCGGCCGCGCTCGCAGGCCGTGTCGGCGGCGGTCTCCACCCGCTGCCTGTGCCTGTCTGACGTAACATTCAGTGTCGGGAGCACAGCTTGCCACTTTTTAAAAATGAGGTGTATGCAACCGCTAGCCAGTTCCAGCAGTAAAGGGAGAACCGAGGAGTTACCTTTAGTGAAGATTACCGTGTCAGTTGAAGACAGCAAGTCGAGTTTGAGGGTTGACCGAGGGCTGGTGTGAACGTTTGGACCCACCCCCCCACCCCCCCGGGCTTACTGTGGTGCTGTCAGCCTCCTGTGCAGCCGTTTCCAGGGTCTGAATTTCGAACAAGCAGGGTCTTCGGGTGAGGGCTGGGGAATCTTCGTGCGAATTTGCCACCACAACCCTGGGCAGCACAAGGGGGCCTTCTCCAGAGTGCAGTGTAGGGGGCTCCAGGCTGAAAAGGCTTGGGGAGGCGCCGGAGCCGCCTGGCTTCCCTGAAGCCCCCACCGGGCAGTGGGCAGCGAGAGGGCAGGGCTCTGCCCCACGCGGCTCAGGAAGGAGAGCGGCCCTGGGCACCGTCTCTCGGGCCGCCCGTGGGGTCCGATTCTCCTCGCAACGTCTGCTCAGAAGCCCTTGCCTCCCCCACTGGCTCTACTTGAGAACACGCCATGTTTCACGGTTTGCCAGAAAGCCCCTCTGGGCACGACAGCACTGTCCTCAGGTGTCACGGAGGTTCAGGAGGAAAGGGACCAGGGCCCGGGCACCCGTGCGGCCCTCCCTTTCCCGTCTGAAGCTGTGTCGGTGCGCCCTCGACTAACAGGAGACTGAGCTCTGAAGTGTCTGTGATTTGATTAATCCCACTGATGACTTCTCTGCATTTCATTTTCTGTGTTGTCCCTCCCTAACCCTGCGGCCTCCGCGCCCTGACGGGCCTGCTCTCCTCTCCTCTCCTCTCCTCAGCGCTGTCTCAGCTTGGCTCTGCCGAGAACAGACCTGCGCAAGGCCTCCCCCAGCAGAGACTCCAGCTCTCCCCTGCCTTGCAGCAGCAGCAGCGGCAGCAGATCCAAGTAATCCCGCCACTTTGCTCCGATCGCACTTAACCATACTGGCCCCCCGAGCGCCACAGGATGCCTTAGTTCCGCCCCACTGCCTGTGAGACTGGGCAGGGACCGGTGCACGGTCAGGGAGCTTCATCTGAAGGCCCGGTGTTCTGGCCAGCCGGTCTGGAGCACGGAGCGGGTTTTCACACCGCAGCCACTCTCCTGCGGGTTGAAAACCTCCCGTGAGTGCCGGTGGCTCGCGGACGTCCACTCTCACGGCTGCAGCGGGCCGGGAAGCAGACAGGTGCCCGTGGTTAGCGTGCCCCGCAGGGCGAGGCAGGTGGGCCCGTGCTGCCAGCAGGCGTCCTGCCCGTTGGAGGAAGGCGTGGCTCCGCTACCCTGCGCAGCGGGCGTGTGAGCGGGCTGCCCCCCGTGCAGGGGGTGCTGTGTTGCTGGGACTGTCACGAGAGCACGGGGACGGAAGCCGCCGAGTTACACAGTGCAGACTGGCAGGGCACAGTGACAGACCGACTCGGTGGGCCCCGGGCCCCTGGGACTGCAGTCTGACCCCTTTGTGAGCTCGGTGCTTCCTCCCTCCCGGTCTGCGGTCTCCAGCGCCCGCAGGGACAGCCCCCCAACTGCCGCCGGGTGTGACGCCACGTTTCCCTCCCTTTGCAGCAGCTGCGGTTCTTGCAGCACCAGATGGCTATGGCGGCGGCGGCACAGACGGCCCAGCTGCGTCGTCACCGGCACACAGGCAGCCAGTCAAAAAGTAAGGTGAAGAGAGGCGCGCCAGCCACTCCGAAATTCTGAGCCCGGCATCCTCTTTCCTTTTTCAAAGACGTAAGAGCGATGAGTCAAGAGGATTCTGAGTTTCTACTTCATCTTTGTTTAAAACGTGTCAGTATTTTACATTGCTGGATGTACAAACTTTGTACAGAAGCGCAACCCTGTGATTTTTAAATAAAAACAGGGAGATGCTTTAACCACTGGGGTTGGTTTGCCTAAGTCCTTGCTTTCACGGCGGTGTCACGGTGCACGACACGGAGGTGGCCTAAGAAACCCTGGAGATGTCTTAGGGATGCAGTTTGATGTTTATTGAGTATAAAAGGCTTGTGTGCAGTGCAACAAATAGTTTTTACAAATCTGGTTTGGAAATGTGGTGGCTTATTTGGGCTTCATACTCTTGAAGACTTCGTCCATCAGCTTCTTCACCTCCCTGTGTCTGGTGACCGCCCGGCTCACGCAGTCCTGCAGCTTGGCCCCGGTCAGCCCGCCGCCCCCTGCAGAGGGAAGGGCCCAGGTCACGCGCGGCTGCAGACCGAGGACTGTGGCCGTGGGTGCCGGGGGGCAGTCTCAAGGTCACAGGTCAGCTTCCACGAGACTGCTCGTGGTTCTGGCGCCCACGACCACATAGCAGCAGCAGGGGCTCGGGGCGGCACACCGCCGTCCTGCGCTTGCTGCACTAGGGAGGCAGTGAGGTGCACGCCCCCCCACCCCGTTCCCCTTCCGCCGCCCCCGCCCACCAACCCAGAGCTTCCACGGTTGGGGCTGAAACGGGCCGTGCCTGGCTTGTGGAGGCAGCAGAGCCTGCCCGCCTCGTCCATGACCAGCGTCAGGGCTCCGGCCGCCAGGCGCTCCTCCTCCCCGGTGGGGTCCACGATGAGCAGGGTGCTGGGGAAACAGCGTCGGGGCGAGGTCACCGACCCGCGGGACGTTGGGCCCTAGAGGCGTACTGAACGCACGGCTCTTGTACCTTCCACTTACTCGTCAAACACCGCAAAGGAAGTAGCAACCGGGTGAGTTCTAACGTTCAGGTGACTTTTCTTCTTTAAGTTAACTTCTGCCAAAGCTGTCTCTTGGTTTATAGTGACTTCCGGTAGCTGCACTAGAAACAGGCACGTGGGTGAAGCAAGGCCCGCCCTCCAGCGGGAGTAACAAACACGGCTTCCTGAACTCGCCGGTCCCGTGCGGCTGGTCCCGAAGTGCTCAGAACGTTTAAGAGAAACACAGTGTGTGCCTACAGTGTTACTAGTTTATAAACACAAACGGATGATAAGCTAAACCCTAACAAAAACCTGCAGTGTTCAAGCCCCTTAACAAAACAAAGGGCAGAGGCAGGGACAGTGGCCCTCGCTGCGGGAGCTCACCATTCCTCAAAGCCGCTAACAAGGCGAACGTGCAGGCGTCCAAGAGGTTCCCATCGCAGTCGAGGCAGATGAGGTCGCAGTAGAGGACCCACGCAAGCTGGAAAGGGCGACAGCGCGTCGGACAGGGAGGTGGGCGAGGCCACCTCCGGGCCCAGAGGCCCACACAACCCCGCACCTTCTGGGCCCGGTCACTGCAGGTGTCTGCCCACCATGCCGACAGCCAGCGGCGAGCATTTGCATCCCCGTGGCCGAGGTCACAGGTGAGGAGAGTGCTCCTCAAAGTCCCCGTGAGGACCACACACACACTTTCCCGAGGGCACCCCTGACGCGTGCGGCGTCCAGGCCGGGCAGCGCTGGGCGGCACGGGTGTGGTCAAGCAGGGAAGCCCGCGGGATCCGGGCACCCGAGGGCTCCGTGTCCACTCGGACTCAGGGTGTGTGGTGCAGGCGCACCGCAGACACGCTAGCAGAAGAGATGCCGCCGTGCTACAGAGTGGGAGAGCGCCCTTCTCCGGGGCGGTGCGTGTGGGGAAGAGGACTCCCCCTGAGGGGGCTCCGAGTCCGGCAACAGCAGCCTGGGGCCCCACTGCCAGACACTGGAGGGCCACTGCGCGGGCCGCCGACCCCCGTGTCCTCCCCACGGGGGACACTGCGGAATTCTGGAAGGACCACGGCTGCCTGACTCCGCTCACCTTCCCCGGAGAGATGCACAGGTCCTCCTTCCGGATCATCTGTGAACTGGGTTCAACGACAACACCGTGAGCGGAAGGTTGAAACCGCCCGGGCAGGGTCCGCGGCCCGGCCTCCTCCCCGGGATCTTACTTTTCAATGACGTCTGCCACGAACTGGCTGGCCACCTGGGCCTCCTCCCCGGGGGGCCCCGACCGGAACCTCGACGAGCACAGAGGCGGCAAGTCCACGTTGGGAACTGAAAGACACACGCTGCTGCTGGGGCGGGGGCGGGGGAGGGGGGGGCCAAGGGCCGCCGTCCTCAGGCAGCGCCTGGCCCCAGAGGGGCTGCTGCGTGGGGGAAGGACGGCGAGGCATCCCGTCTGGCCTCGGTGAGACCTGTGCGTGGGTCAAGCACGGTCGGCACTCCGACTCCTCACCACGCGAGGAAGGCCAACAATAGCGCTTACTCAAGACTTCGGCCCTCCGTGGGTTTTCTAGACCCCTTTCCAAGTACCCCCCCTGCAGCAGCAGGCAGCCCTCCAGTAGGCCCGACCATGCTGCATTTCAGACACGCTGGTTCCCACCACTCAAAGCAGACAGTCCAAGTCAAAAAGCCCCCGAGACGGCATGCTGGTCTCGATGACGAAGGGAAACAGACAAGTTTGCAATTACAGCCCTTGGTCTAGGAAATTCTATTTTTTTGGCTGATGACATCTGAATGCATGAAAAAACATGGATCCAAAAACTAAACAAAATTCTCTATTTTGCTATTAAGCTATTTTCTAACAGGAAACTTCAGGATGTCTCTCATCCCTGTATATTTGTGATTACTATGAATAATTTCCTTTAACTCAACTACTAAGACTTAGCTATAGCATTTGTATTAAAATTACAAAACCATGCCCTGGCTGGCGTAGCTCAGTGGATTGAGTGCGGGCTGCGAACCAAAGTGTCGCAGGTTCGATTCCCAGTCAGGGCACATGCCTGGGTTGCAGGCCATGACCCCCAGCAACTGCACATTGATGTTTCTCTCTCTTTCTCCCTTCCCTTCCCTCTCTAAAAATAAATAAGTAAAATCTTTAAAAAAATTACAAGACCATTTAACTTACCAACATATCCCTTGTTGGGGGCATCTGGAGGTGGGGCAGCAAATTCCTGTGGGAGCAAATTGGTGTTGGCTGTGGGGCCCTGCCAGGCCATGAGAGCTGGTGGCCACGGGTGACTGCCGTGCCCAGGCACCTGTGTCGGGGGCGCTCCGGACTCGACCGCCAGCCCGCATGGGCTCTGCAGGTGGCGCGGTGGGCACAGCACCACCCTTGGGCGCTCCTCATCAGGTGCCTGCGGCTCTGACAAAGGTGACCCGGGCGTCTGCTCCCCCACTCGGGTGAGCCCCCAGGTGACACACTCAGGTTTAGGAGTTGAGGGTCAGCGACCCAGAGGCTGAGCAAAAGCTCTGGAGTCCCCGGGTTCCAAGGTCAGGCCCTCACTCTCTGGCTGAGGCTTTGGGTAGGGCACCTGACCTCGCCCCACTCACCCTTCTCATCCGCAGCCCGGGCGTTCAGGAGGCCCGTGTCCAGGGACTGCTAACGAGGTCCGAGTGAGAACGCTCGGAGTCCCGAACACAGAACTGGGGCACCGGGTGCTCCAGTCTGGTGTGAGGTGTCACCCCAGCTGCACCCGGAGGACAGGGGCTCAGGGGAGGGAGCAGAGCGCTGGGCGGCCAGAGCGCAGGCCCCGCGGGCAGGCCCACGCTCTCCGCAGGAGCTGCGAGCTCCTGCACCGGCCACAGAGCCTCCCGGGTCCCTGGCCAGAGGCGTGGGCCTCAGGTGGCTGTTCTGAGGGTGAAAGCGACCGATCGTGTGCAGCACCTGACCTCAGGTGCCTGCACCGCGACAGGTGCACAGCGTGCGGCGGCCAGCACTCCCTCGGCGGCTACCCTGGAGCAGCCCCAGCTGTCGGCACACCTGCACAGACCCACAGGTTAATGCCCTCACTGGGGAAAAGGGTGTCACCAAAAACTCCTCATTTCTTAAAAAATTAAAGGTGGTGCCAATCTGGAAAATTACGACTTTACTGCATTTGACAAATATTCACAAATTATAATCAAGTCATTAAACTTGGGTCACGTTATCTCATTCTCAAAGATGAAAGCTCTAGGCAGGGCGTCCGACATACCAGCGTCTCAGGGCCACATGTTAAATACACAAACACTAACGAAAACGGATGAACAAAAACAAAGTTTTTAGTAGATTGACAATTTTGTGTTGGGCTGCCTTCACAGCCACCGTGGGCTGCACACGGCCGTGGGCCGCGGGCTGGACGCCCTGCAGGGGAGTGGAAAGTGCTCCAAGTTGCCACCCGGCCAGAGCTGCTAGCGTGTGTGCCAGCCCAGTGAGCATGTGCAGCTGATCCGGCAACCCCCATCTCAGTAGCACATGCGTGACACCTACCGCTTTAACACCACAGATCACGGCCGTGTTTCCCAGCTTCACTAAAGCAGAACCATCCGCGGTGCTAATGGAACCTGAAAAGAGAAGTCTTTAAGCAAAATGGAAAGGCAAGTAAGAAGTGATTTGCTTTCTACTAGGATTTCATACTGCTACAAACAGGCAGATGCGTATGAAATTTACTACCAGCTCACGCCGCCTTTTTAAAGTGGCATCGTATGTGAGAGTCCCTCTCCCGCCCCCGAATGTGAGTTCATCACTTTTCATTCAGTCACAGCACTGCACAGACAACAATCTCGACACAAAGCCACCGGAATTCCTTAAACATGGCAGAACTTGGCCAAACTGCTGTGCGAGTGGCTCAGAGGCCAAGGCTTGGGGCCGCCATGCAGGCAAAACTGGAAAACCCCGTGTTTGCAATGGGGGTAAGGAAGTAAGGGTGCGGCTAAGGAATCCATGTCTTGGGAGTTTGGAAAGAAGAGGAGAAAACTCCGTAGTAACTTTAAATTTTTTAATAAAGAGCAAATCAATGGAGAGAATAGTGAGTTTTTAAAATTTTTACAAATAAAAGTTCTGGACTAGTGTTAAAAAACAAGAGACATTCTACTTCCGACCCAGAAGCAAGGTCAACGCTCTACAGCAGACGGAGAGCAGCCTCACCCACGTTGACGGTCGTGGCTCTGAACTCGCCCAGCTCCCTCCCGTCCGGCCGGCAGTTCTCCTTCTGCAGAAACACGCGCGAAGGGAGGTTACGCCCACACGGATGTTGCACGGAGAGCCAGGGAAAGCACGTTAAGCCCCATTCATTGAAATCCCTTGAATTTTTAAGGTATCAGTGACATTTTAACATTAGTCTCAGGTGCACAACGGAACGCTCAGTATTTGCACATGCGCAAACTGTCTCTGAGAGCGCGAGGCCGTTACCACAAGGCGTGACAGCTCCACTCACCAAAAACCTCCTGTAATACTCCAGAGGCTCCACCGTCCTGCAACGAGTTAAAGATACGCCTGCGTGAGTGAACGACTCTTCCCACAAACCCAGGACCGACTTCCATGAACTCCCCCACCGCGCAGTGCCACCGGGAACGAAGGAGAAGAGGCGGATCTAAGGACAGCAGACGCGAGCAGCTCGGCCGCCCAGGAGCGCGGGGTGGAGCCCAAAGCCGGGGCGCGACGCCGCGGGATGAAGGCGGACGTCGGACCACCTCGCTCTGAAGCTCGGATTCTGAACTCACGAGCGTGGAAAAAAGTCCCACCTTTGCTGTCACTGCCCTGGGGCTGACACTCAACAAGTGCTTCGGTTACGACTGTGGGGGCACGCACAACACCCCCCCCCCACACACTCGCGGGTTTGCACAAAGAGAGCGCCGTCTCGCAGTATCGGGTCTCCTCTGGAACCCTGCTCATCCCCTTAAAAACTGCACTCCGAGGAGACCCTGCAGGCTTCGCCAGAGCGGCACAGCAAAGGCCGACGTAGAAACCTTCCGAGCTCGGCACCGTCCACTCACATAAATCACGGGAGAGCGAGAGCGGAGGGGCACGCGGCTCGGACCTAACGCCGTTTAAAAACACGCCACCGAGTCCGCTGGGGCCGCGCGCCCTCCACACCCCGAGCCGCAGCGCTCGCGGCGGGCGCCCGCTCTACCCCCGGCCCTCCCGGCCCCCCGTCTGCCGGCGGGAAGAAGCCCCCCGCTGCTCCCCACGACCGCCTCCAGGCCCTCCCGCCCGCCGCCTGCTTCCGCGGGGTGGGGAGGGGCCGTGGGAGCCTGGGGGCGGGGCGCTCCCGGGGAGAAAAACCCCAGCTGAGGGTTAGATGAACCCGCCACCCGCCAGGGTACCGACTCGCGTTCCCCAGCCTCCGGCACTCACTTGAACCCGGCCGCCATCTTCCCGCGCGCGCGCCTGCGCCTGCGCGGGGGCGGCACCGCGCCTGCGCCTGCACTTGCGCCCGCGCCGGGGTGACACCGCGCTTGCGGCCCAGGTGCGGGCTCCGCCTGCACATTTTCGGCGGGGACGCCAGGGTCCTCCTCCCGCTTCGGGAGACTCACCACTCCCGGGCGCTTGGACGCTGGGCCCCGGCACGCCTTCGTTTCCGCAGTCCCTAACCAAAATCTGCCTCTAGTTTTTCTTGCTTTCTACGCATTTTGACGAATCTGCTGATAAGGGATGCATGTCTCTCTTTAGAAACACACTAGTCGTCCAGGCGTTTAAGAGAAAACCTAATTTATAGCAAATTATCCAGTATTGAGAGTGAGGCATTGCAGAAAAGTGCCTGCGTCCTCGTCCCGCCCGTGTCTTAGGCTAGGCTGGAGCTTCCCTTCTCCCAGGTACAACGCTCCCGGTTCCAGCACCGGAGACGACAAGAGTCCGGGGCGCTCCAGATCGGCTCCAGGTTCCACGCTGCGGGGACCGGGCGGGCTCCCCGGGAGCTGCTGCCGTTCTCAAGGCTTCCACCTGCCTTTGGATAGGCTTGCCAGACCCAATAAAGGCCAGCCAAGTACATTTGAATGCAGATAAAAAGAGATTTCATTTTTCCCTAAGGACGTTCCCAGGAGTGTATGTTAGTAGTTGTTACCAGGGGCGGGGGGAGCGGGGAAAGTTTTACAAATGACGGCTGCAGAGAATTGTGAATGTAATTAAGGCCACTGTTTCGTATACTTAAAATGGTGAAAATATCGAAAAAAATTATCACAGTTTTAAAAAAATCATGTAAGATGCCAAACTTTTAAATGGGTGGCTTGTATAGTATGGGGAATCACATTTTAATAAGGCTGTTAAGCAAAAAGCTTTGTTGCTTATCTGATACTCAATTATAGTGGGCGTCCTGTATTTCGATTAATTCCGGCCACCGGGCTGTGGCACGGAGCGTGGGGCACACAATCCCGCGTGTCCCCGCCTGGCCGCGCGAGGGCGCTGTGGGCGGCGGGCGCCCGGCGGCGCGGCCTCTCCGCCGGCCGGGGGGGCGGGGCCGCGCGGCGGCTTCTGCGGCTGCGCGGCGGCTTCCGCGTGCGTGCCGGGGCCGGATAGGGCAGCGGCGGCCCGGGCCAGGCGGGCATGGGTCATGGCTCCGCTCTCGCTGCAGCTGGCGGTTCTCTACGCGGCGCTGGGAGCGGCGCTGGCGGCCGCGGCCCTAATACTGGTGAGAGGCGGGGTGGGCACCGCCTCGGGCCCGGGCTCGCCGCTATCCTGGAGACACGGCCCGGGCGCGCTCTGCTCTGCGTCTCCGGCGTTCGGGGTCCCTTTCCCCGGGTGCCGCCCAGCCCCGAGCCTTGACCCCAGAATGCCTCTCCGGGGTTTCACGCCCCCCTTCTCCCTTGTGTATTTCTGCTTGGGAACTCTAGCTCCCTGCACATCCAGAGCTTGTACGTCGGTTCTCTCTGGGGGCGTGCGCGCCCCGTGTCCGCTTGACCCCGGACCCTGTGCCCCCTCCGACCTCCCGGGTCTGCAGCCTGCGCGGCGCCGCCCCCGCGAGGGCTTCGGTGCTCTGCAGACTCCCCTCTTTTCGTGTGGGTGGGCGCACGAGCGCGGGGCCAGCACCCGCAGGAGCCACCTGTTCCAGACTGGAGCCGGTCAGTGCCTCGCGAAGACCCGCCGCGGACGCGCGAGGCCTGACGTCAGCATCTGCCTGGGGGTCGCTGCGCCCCGGAACGGAACGGCCTGGATTCGCCGCCCGGAAACGGGCAGGGCCGTCGAATTCTCCCCCGGGGTTTCTGGCCGTCCTTGGGCAAACACGGGCTGATGCCCAACGAACTTGCTCCCCCGGGATTTGGGACCAGCCTGCGCCCCGGGTCGTGAGTGCGGAGGTTTCCGCGTCCTCGACGTGCGGTTAGGTGAGCAGCCAGGAGGTTTACGAGCTCACAGCGTGGGGACCGTGTAGATCGCGGAGAAGCGCTGCATCCCGATTGCTTCGGCGATTGGTCCCTTTCCCTTAGTGCTGTGGGGAGGTTTCGGGGTTTTGAGCAAGTCCGGGTTGGGGCGGGGCTGGCTGGTGTTGAAAGTGTTGCAGATTTACACGTGTACGCTATGAGTTTGCTCGGGAAGTGTGTGCCCGAGTACCGTGTGTGCTGTGTACTCGCAGAGTGCCGGGCGTTGTTGCGTTCAGTGTTTGCCAGGATTGTCCGGTCGGGTCTTTAAAACACGCCAGCAGGCGCGACCGGTAGCTTCGTTTGACCAGTGAGGAGACTGGGGTTGGAGAGGAGCGCTGCGGTACACAAATGTCACAGAGCTCCTGGAACTGTGTGTGTGTGTGTGTGTGTGTGTGTGTGTGTGTGTGTGTGTGTGTTTAATGCCTGAGCAGGTAATCATTACAAAAAAAACCCACAAAAACGAACTGTGTGTGGGTGGGGGTGATCACCCCACTTCCTTCTGGGTTATTTTGAAGTGAACCTAAGATATGGTACTGTACCTGTAGGATAGGACCCCTTTTTAACTGGGATGGCAGCAGGACTATCACAGATTTCTGTGGGTTAACCAGTGTTTAGTTTTAAATACTCTGTCAGGCCCAGCGCCCCTGTAGGTGTCCGCAGAGCCAGTGGCACTCCTGTGCCCTGGGGGCGCCACTGCTGTGTCTCAGCTGCTGCTCGCCCCTGTCCCCTGATCTGTAGCTGCGGCCGTGGTCCTGTGGGATTTCTCATTGTCTGCATTTTACTGGTGGCGCCCCCGTGGTGCCTTTTAACACCCTCCTGTGTCCCCCAAATGTCCTGTAAACTCGTAGCTGCATCTAGAGACCTGGCCAAATGCACGTTTGAGCGTTTTAATGAGGAGAAGTGGCTGTGCGTGCTGGACACGCCCCTTTGACGCTCCGGGAGACCTGCGGTGGGAGATTCCTCGGGGGTGAGGTGGGCCCACCAGTTCGGAGGGGAGTCCATCCTCGACCTGAGGGTGTTCACAGCCGTTGATGGTCACCCCCCAAACCCGTGGTTTCTGGTCCGGTCGCTCCATCTCCACGAGTTGCCTAGAAATCTGTAGTGAAAGAGAGGTTAGTCCTCGGCTCCCAGTTGATCCGAAAGACCTTTCCTGTGTGAAAGGTAAGATCAAAAGCAAGGTTTCAAAATAGAGAAATAGTTCCCTGGCGTCTTACAAAGGTGACCAATTGTGTCTCATTTGTAGCATCACTGGGAACCCACAAGTTAGAACACTTGTCGCGTGTTCCAGTGTGCCGCAGTCACCTGGTGCCCAAGCCCTCCCTCCCTGAGCCAGCCAGAGCCGTGCGGGCCGGCGAGCCCAGACCCAGCCCGCACCCCGGCCAGGAGCACTGGCTGTTGATGGGGCGGGGGGGGGGGGGCGGCGGGATTCAGAAACCACACTCTGGACACCAGGGCTGCTTGAACGGAAGGTCAGACCCCCCCGGTCTGGGTACTTGCCGTGGGGGCGCCAGTCAGAAGCACGCCCAAGGTCAGTAGGTACCCAGGGGGTGTGACAGATGGTTGGCAAGTTACAAATGGGTAACATCCAGGAAATGGAATGCTGGATTGAGTGTTCTGGAAGCAGCAGGTGTGCCCGTAGGAACAATGTTGCCAAGAATAGTGTCCGGAGCCAGCTGCGCGTTGGGGATACGGGGAGATGTGTGATGCGGGCCCCCGCCAGTGTGTGTTGGATGCCTGGCCTGCGAGGTCCGACTTGACTCCGGGAAATACTCTGTTGTGAGTCCAAACCTGGGGCGAGGACCACGGGCTTGTACGGGTTCCCAGTCCCCACTGTGGGGACCCGCAGACTGTCCCCCTCGTGCTCCGGGTCCCCCGGCCCTGCCTGGCAGCTCCGCCCTCAGCCCACGTGCTCCAGCCGCGGCGTGGACTTGTCTCCCTCACACGCAGGCCAGGCCCCAGGGAGGGAGGGATGGGACCCCGGTGTGTGTGTGTGCGTGTGCCCAGGTCAGGGGTCTGGCCCGTGGGCGAGCGGGCCGCACGGCTTTGCTCCATTATGTGTGGGGTGACGGGCCTGGCGAGTGCCGGGCGGGAGGAGACCCAGCGCCCCCTGAGGCCTCGGGACCTTGCTGACCGGTGGAAGGACCGTCGCCCCTGGGACTGGCTTGGATTTTGGAGTCCCCTCCAGACCGCTGTGAATGGACTAAAAACTGAGAATAAATATCCCCCCAAAGGGGGAAGGTCACGTAAATGGTGCAGCAGCGGAACCTAACAGTTTCTGTCTCGCACCCCCGCCTGCAGGTCTCCCTCGTGGCGTTCGTGACCGCGCGGGACATGCCTCCGCTGCACCGGCACGAAGGGGAGAGGTTCTTCCTGAACGCCAGGGGGCGCAAGGAGGCCCTGCCCGGCCTCGGGGACCCGCCCACCAAGCGGCTCTCGGTGGTGGTGCCGGCCTACAACGAGGAGAAGCGGTGTAAGCCGGGGTGCTGCTGGTAAGGGGTCCCTGGGAGGAAAGGGACGTGCGTGGCACGGGACCCGACTGCCGTCCCCAGTGCGCAGCCGCAGCCCTGGAGGGGCGTGGCCGGGAGCGGCAGCCGCGGGAAGCGCAGGGCCGCAGGGCCCTAGAGGGAGAGCGAGCAGGGGCCGGTGCCGGAGGGGGAGCGGCCCCTGCGGGAACAGCCCGGGGGCCCTTCTGAGTGCCCGCCCCCGCCCCCCACCCCCTGAACTGAGCGTGGGAGCTGGACGGGTCACTCTCAGAAGCAGGGTCTCACGTGCCTCTCTTTCCTCGAAGTGCCCGTGATGATGGATGAAGCCCTAGGCTACCTGGAAGAGAGACAGGTATTACGTTTGCTCCTTCCGTCCGACGTGTCCCCTTAAAACCAGGCCGGGCGGCCAGCTGCCCGTGAGGGCTGGCCCTGCCCGACCCCGGTACCGCGGGCCGCCCGGGGCTCCCTGGCGTGGAGCGCACACCCCCAGAGGCAGGCGGGCGGCCCCCCACCGTGTCCTCTCCCGCCTGGGGGAGCGCAGGACACCCAGCGACAGAGGGTCCGCAGGCTTTGTGACTTTGTACGAGGGACGCCTGTCTGAAAGATTTGTAATCAGGGTGGAATTATTTTGTATTTCTTTATTGTCCTTAAGTCCCCCTCATTTACTCCCCCCTTCTCTCCCCACCGAGGCAGGGGCAGGCGGCGTGTGCCTGTGAAGAGCCCCACACAAGTGCGCCCGGTGGCCTGTGCTGTAAAGAGAGCCCCTTGTTCTGGCTCCGGTGTTAGGGTTTGTGTGAGAATGGGGAACCACAGAAGGGAGGAGCCTGTAGGGTCTGCCTCTGAACTCAGTGTAAAGGGAAAAGGACGGGAACTGAGCCCTCAACACGGGTGAGGCCTCTGCCTCTTCTGTTCCACGTGACCTTCTCACCAGCCACGTGGAGAGGGGTTCTGTTTGCCGTGAGAAAACAGGCCAGAAATGCTGCTACCTTGTCCCGGGTCGTGGGGCTGGGAAGCGGTGTGTTCGGGTTGGAGTCTGTGCTGTCGGACTGCAGCCACGCGGCTGTTTCCTGGGGCGCCGGAGCGCCTCTGGGGGAGCTCAGCCCCTGGAGGCCCTCGGGGGCCTGTCGGCGCGGTGCGGGGCGCGGCCGGAGGAGCGGGCGCTGGCAGATTCAGTCCACGCTGCCCTCGCCCCCCCTCCCCGTCCCGGCCTTTTCATGTCCTGCCGTGCGAGCGGCAGCACTGACCGGCCATCAGAGTTCCTCACCACGGCGGCTATGCCACCGCGTGACCTTTCGTTTCTGCCTCTTGCAGAGACGCGACCCCACCTTCAGCTACGAGGTGATTGTCGTCGACGACGGCAGCAGAGACCAGACGTCGAAGGTGCGTGGACTCACTCATACTGTGCGGAGGGTGGGGCACGGGAAGGCCCATGGGGCCCCTGCAGCCTGGGGGGGGGGCCGCAGGAGCAGGGTCAGCCCCCCCCCCCCGGGAGCTGCCACCCTTCCAAGTCTCCCGAGTCCTCACCCCTCCCCACGGGCCCTCGGCCCACCCAGCGGCGCGGGGGCCGCAGTCAGGGCACGGGGAGGGCGCCAGGAGCAGCCTCTGCGTGTCACCGTCCTGCGACCCAGGGTGACTTTCTGTCCCTTCCACACACGCGGACAGGTGGCCTTCGAGTACTGCCAGACACACGGGAGCGACAAGGTGCGCGTGGTCACGCTGGCGAAGAACCGGGGGAAAGGCGGCGCCGTGAAAATGGTAACTCGAGGCTCCGTGTCAAGGTTTCAAGTGTGGGGGGGCTGGGGAGCCGCTTCTACGGGGGGGGGCGTGGGGGACTCCCACCAGGGCTCCGGGCCGTGGGCTGTGGGGCCGGTCACACCCGGCAGGACGCCCCGCCTGCCACGCACCGGGCACCTCCGAGAAAGACGTCCATCCCTCAGCCAAGAGCGTTCCCGGCCACTCGCTGTGGTCGGGGGGCCTCTGGGTGATGGGGTCTCGCGGCGTTCTTTGCAGCTCACACACTGCCTTTGTGGGTGAACCGTCACCTGTGGGGGCCCCCCCAGCTGAGTGTGGAGTGGGAGCTAGGCCGGCCGCCGGGGGCCCACCTGGCGACGCCCACGGTGGAACACAGAGAAGGTGGGAACAGGAGCCGCAGGGATCCCGGGAGGAAGGGGGCGCGTCCGCCCGAGGCCCGTCAGGGTCAGGTGGGGCCCGAGATGCACTGACGGGACGCCCGGAGCCAGTGCCCGGAGACAGAGTCGGGGAGTGACGCCCCCAGCGGCCCCGGAGCCGCGTGCTTCTGCTGGGCGCGCCCCCGGGGAACCGGCGGGGAGACGAGGCCGTAGGGAGGCAGGCGCGCCGCAGCCGTCAGCAGGGTGGGGGTGGGGGGCGGCGAGGGCAGGCGGGGGGCAGGCGTTGGAGCCCCCCCCAGAGCCGGGGGGGGGCGGGGCGGCGCGCATGGGCTGGGGGCCCCCCAGCAGCTCTCCGCCGGTGCTGAGCGCACGGCCCCGTGTCGCTGGTCTGCTTTCCGTTTTAAACCCTCAGCTCCTGAGCGCGCGCCTCGTACGGTTTTTCTGAGACTCCGAGTGTGGTGCTCGGGCGTTAAATACACCACCTTCATTTCTGCTTTTTCACCCCCGTTGCAGCGAGTGGGACTCCCGGCACAGGTAGCAGTCGGTGGGCGGAGACCCTAGACAGAGTAAGTGACCGGATCTGGGCCGCAGTCACACTCTCTGGCGACAGCGAGGCTCTGTTTTACCGAATCAAACCGTAAACGTGTTTATGCTCGCGAAACAGCGAATTCCCTCAGATGTGCCGTGAGGTTAGAGGTGACGTAGCCGGGTGCCGGGCGTGCGCCGCCAGAGCCGTGCTTCGCACGGAGGACCAGCCAGGGCTGCGTGGGGCGGCGCGGTTCCGCCGAGGGCCGGCCGCCGCGGACAGCGGGGTGTGTTTGCGTGTGGCCACACTTCCTAGGTTTCAGGGGCATTCCACGTTTTTTAATTCACCGGTTCACTTAAAATGCTTGAGATTCCGAAAGGAAGAGCACAGATTTGTCTCTGTCCTGACGCACTGCACAGCACATTCGTGTGGTGCGTGTCTTCGGTCGGTTCATAACCGTGTTCTCCACACGCTGTGCCAGGTGACGCTGTGGTAAACGTGCGGGTCGTACGTGCCGCACGTGACAGGCGTCCTACTGTTTTACTCCTGCTGACGCAGGGTGTCTGCGGTCTGTCCGAATCTGTCTTTCCAGCTCCCTGCTTTCCCGGGTGTGAGCCGTACGGCCTCGCCGAGAGTCTGAAACCGTGAATTGGCCCGAGGTGCACTGAGGAGGATCTTGCCGACGCGATGTGTTTGCAGGAGCGTTGGCGGCCCCTGCCCTGCACACCTAGCACTTCACCCCTGGCCTCGTCACGTGCAGCAGGACAGACTGACGCGCCCCTGAACTCAGCCTCGGTTCCAGGCGGCCGTGTCTAAACGGGGGCTCTCGCACACAGGGCGTCTTCAGTTCCCGCGGGGAGAGGGTCCTCATGGCGGACGCCGACGGGGCCACGAGGTTTGCGGACGTGGAGAAGCTGGAGAAGGGACTCGAGGGTCTGCGGCCGTGGCCGGTGAGTGCGGGAACGCCGTCACGTCCACGGGGAACACGGGGAACACGGGGTGCTGGCCGCCAGCCTGGGCTCCGGGGCCTGAGGCTCCTGCTCGCGGCCCGCGGAAGAGCTGGTGGTTCCCGTGCACACGCTCGTGGACTCCCCTGCTGGTCACGCGGCTGAGACGGCGGCCGTCTCCCCAAGTCCGCACACGCACCGCGCACACTCTGCACATGCACCGCGCATACTCTGCACACGCACCGCGCACGCCCCTCCACCGAAGCCCAGCCCAGGCTCCGGGTGATGCGGGAAGTGACCCCATGTCCCGGACAGAACCTTGTTTCTGGGGAGGCGGACCCGAGCGGCGGCCCCTCCGGGGAGGTGGTGGCAGCCCTGCCCTGCGCCGGCCCTTCCCTGGGCGTCGCGCGTCTCCTGGGCAGGTCACACGTCCACGCTCACGGGAGGGTGCTGCCTCTCCCGCCTCTTGGCGCATCACGATGAGCTGGGAGGAGAAGCGGCTGGCAGGGACGGTGGGTCTGATCTTCTGGTTCCCCCGGAGAACCCACGAGGAGGAGCCGCTCCGTGTCTCTCCCGCCTTATCCCCAGGGCCCGGGGAGCCGTGGGGGCGGGGTAAGTGTTAGCCTCTGGCCCTGTGCCGGCCTCAGCAGGGCAGAGGGGAAACGCCTCACCCGAAATCAAGGGGCTGCAGCAGACAGTGAGGGGTGACCCGAACAACGAGAAGATTCCCCCGTGAATCCAGCCCCCTCTCCGGCTCTCTGGAAAGGGGGGAGGTTTCAGCGCCGCCTGGTTCTGTGTGAGGGGGCGGGCTGCACCATGCTGCGAGCGTGGGGTCCCGCAGAGCTGCAGCGTTCGGGCGTGCCGGGCGTGTGTGGGCTGTGAGTTCACGGCCGCGGTCCGCCTCCAGGGAGGCCTGCCTGCCTGAGGGTGTCACGGCCCAGCGTGGGGTTCACTTGAACTTAGCGCATCAACAGTTTTCATCAGTGTCCGTCACGTAACGCTTCCTGGTGAAGGACACGGGGTCCAGTTCCGGAGCCCTTGGTCTTTGGACCGGCCGGGTGCCGTGTCCGCCCCCCGTTTCCCGGGAGCTGGGGTCCGGGCGTTCCCTGCCGTCGTAAACGCCGTTTTCCTCCCGCTGGGTTCCTGTCTGAGGGGGCGAGGCCGGCGCGTCGGGTGTGGGCATTTCCACCGCACCCGCTCGCTGCAGGCCCCTGCTGCTCCCGGCGGGTGTAGCTCAGACGCTCGGTCTCTCCGAGGGCAGCGGTTGCGCGTGAAACCGGACCACCTGTGGGTGACTGCTTTCCTTCCAACACTACGAACTCCCCTTTATAATGACATTAACGCAGTATCTTTAACCAGGAAAAACTCAGTATATGGATCCCAAAGTAACCCCCCCAGTGGACACAGTCAGGCTTCTCGAAGTCGTACGGACTCCGAACTCGTCCGGACTCCGAACTCGTCGATAAACCTCCAAAGACATTCAGTGCTACTTTTTTCTAAAAGACGTGAGGCTCACTTTGAAAGCCGGCGCCTTCGCTCGTGCTGTGACTGAAGCGCGGTCTGCCTGCTCTCTCCCCAGGACCGGATGGCCATTGCGTGCGGGTCTCGGGCTCACCTGCAGGAGGAGTCCATTGCTCAGGTGAGGGCCGGCCGGGGGGCGGGGGGGAGAAGGCGGGGCAGCGGTGTGGTGCCTCCTCTCGGTTTGTGGGTGCGGGAGAACGCGGACCCCCGACCTGGGACGCGAGCGGCTCTTTTGGACTTTTCCCTTAAGACGTCAAGGGGGTCCCCGCCCCGTCACAGCACCAGGGGGGGTTCCCGCTCCGTCCCAGCGCCAGGCGGGGTCACAGCACCAGGCGGGCATTTCCAAGTCGTGCCCTTTGAACCCGCCGGCCGCTCTTAGGTTTTCCTACCGGCACACTTGGGTGCTGTATTCTGAGTTTCGTTCTGAGTTTAAGTTTTTTAGAACTTTATTTCTCTTAGAAAAATACTATATCTTAAAATTTGACAAGCTATAACTGGCATTTTTTGGACATTAAAAGAAGCTGAAGACATTAAGTTCTTCATTTGGAATTTGTAGATGAGGCAGAAAACCTGGAAGGACCTGAAATAAATATTGTTGAGGAATTATCCTGTGCAATGGCCTGGGGGTTTTTTACATTTAAAAAATTTTTTCAAGTACTGTCGACACACAATAGTATCAGTTGCAGGTGTACAATGTAGTGATTAGGCAGCTGTTTTAATTTTAATTATTTTTCAGCTAAAAACTATAGGGCTTGTGTATCAAGTCCAGGAATTGTCCATTGTATTCTGGATTGGTCCACCTGCCATGGTGCTCAGTGGGCCGAAGAGCAAGCCATATTTTTCAGTGAAAGGGCGAAGTTTGGGGGGGGGTGTCAGTTTTGCAACTGCCCGTGTCTAGGCCAGTCCCGGCCACTCTGTCAGACCGGGGCCGGGGTGCAGCCTGCCCTGGAGCGGGCTCCCTCCCAGCTCTGCCCGGAAGTCCTGGAGTGTGAGCCCCGCCCCCCGCCCCCCACCCCCCACCCCTGAGAAAGTAAACACCTCTCCAGATGAACTGACAGCGAAGTCATAGAGCCTCTGAAGGATGATGTTTAAGTGCGGGAGCCTAGAGTCCCCCCCTGTTTAAGAAGTGACTCACTCTAGCCTCTTCAGCACCCAGTTCAGAATTCTGTGTCCCTGGGGACTTGCACTGGTGCTTGCGAAGGGTCTACTCTGTCCCACAGGGAACGTCGGACTTTCAGAAATTTGAAACTACACGAGTGAGAGATTAGCTGCTCCATCTGTCACTTTGCAGATACGTGAGGGGTAAAGAACTAAAAATGTGTGTCCAAGATGTGCAGCACGTTAGTTATCAGTAATTAAACAGCAGCCACTCTGAAATACCAAGCCCCAGCACTGGAAAGTACAGGTGTCTCCTGGGGCGAAGTGCCATGCAGACAACAAAACAGATGAAAGTGGAGACTATCTGGCATGGGAAAATACCTAAAATACTATGTTGTGTTTAAAAAACTGGTATTGTAAGTACAGTATCACCGTGCAAAAATATCTATGCAAACAAAAACAATGAGAACAGACGAATATTGATTTAATGGTTTTGTGAGTAAACCTTTTCCTGTTTAAAAAGTCGCTGTAGTCAGAAAAGAATAACGATCTACTTGGTGCATTGACAGAGAGGTGGGGGGATGGGAAGCCGTATCAGGAGGAGTGGAGTGACCCAGGCAGAGGGGGCTGGGACCTGCGTGTCTTGATGTTGGCAGCGACCGGGCCCCGCGGCTTCCGGCGGGTCGCAGCGCCCCCCGCTGGCGGGAAACCGGACTTCTTCCCGGAGCCGCATGTAGACGTGGCTGCGCTGCGGCCCGAATCCGCGCTGCCCAGCGCGGTCTCAGCAGACGCGCCGGGCTCCCTCCCAGGGAGCGCGTGTTGCTGACGCTTCTTGTGGGGGCCCCCCTCGCCCCCTGCGCTCCTGCGTCCCTAAAGCCCGCAGGTGGACGGAGCTTTGGGGGCCGCCGTGTGGGGTTCGAGCCGCCCCGTCCTGGCACAGTGGCAGCAGCACAGGCGCCCTCCCGCGCTGGGGGTGACGGGCCCCTCCGATGGCAGACGGGTGACGCGCACAGTGACCTCAGGGGCGTCCCTGCGTAGGGTCAGACTTTGCCCTTCTAAGGACCCTTGCCCGCGGCCCTGGCGCGCCCCGCCGCGTGTCCTGCGTGGAAGGCAGAGCCCGGCGCAGCCCTGGGGCCCCTCGTCCGCGTCCCCGCCGCTGTCCCGAGTGCCGTCCCGGCGGCGGCGGCGCTCTCGGGGTCGGAGGCGCCCGAGCTTACCGTCTGTGGAAGACGCCAAGTGGGATCCACCCCAGTCTCGTGTCCCCGGGTTTTCTCGGGAGACTCTCTGCCTGAGTCTCGGCGCTCTGAACGTCTCACTCGCAGATACTCTCCTTGCTGACACGTCGCGAGCCTCGGAGGTACTGCCCGTGGGGGAGGGGCGAGCGCGCTCTCCCTCGTGCTTTCGGTCTCTGCTCCAGGGGTCTCTGCTCCAGGGGTCCGTGCGACCGTGTGACCCTTCTGCGGCCTTGTCGGCTTCGCTTCGCCAGGCCCGTCCGATGAGAGACAAAGAGGTCTTCTAAATTTAAGCTGCTTTTCAGGTTTTTAAAAAGTGAAGACCCTCCTCTTTGTCGTTGATGCACTTAAATAGGCCACAAATCAAATTTCAGGTGTTCGTGTGAACTCCACATGTTTCTAGATTTTATAAAATAGCCATTATCCTAAAACAAGTAAACGTCTTTTATTCAGATCTAAGCAAAAGCAGTCACTAATATTTGTATTAGCTAAGTAGTAAGTTCACCTAAATCACATTTTAAAAAATCGTTCAAGGAGAATAGTTTTTAGGTATTATTTTTCTACCTTTTCATTTTTATTTTTCTATCTTTGAATTTCTCTCTTTTCCCCCCCGCTTTCCTAAGCATAAGTGCTCCTTTGGAGGTTTAATCAGTCGGCCGGTATTTACTGGGAGTGTTGTGAGTGGACGGCCCTGAGCAGGCTGTCGTGATGTCCCCGGGCTATTCTGAGGTTGCCCAGTCCACTCAGGAAGTAAGACGTGTGCCAAGGAGACGCAGCCGGCGGCCCGGGCGGTGCCGGGAGGGCTCGACCCTTCCGCCGCGCCTGTGCTCGGTCTGCACGCCTCTCGGGGCAGCGTTCCTCCTCCCTTCCCGCCCCGCCCTGTCGCAGGGAGACGCGGGCGCCGTCCAGGTCAGGAGGGCAAGGCGAGCGCCCCAGCTCTCTCTTTAAAAAACCCCTGTGGAGCTTCCGCTGCTCCCGGGGTCAGCACCTGGCAGAAGGCTCTGACGTCGTCCGGTACAGCCTCGTAACGACTTTCAAAGTGGGCCCGTCCGCCCCGTTTCCAGGTGGGGGGTGGGGGGGGGCGCAATGGTGGGACCCGGTCGGTCAGTGGGACCAGGATCTGAACGCGGGTGTCGTGGCCCGCGGGCCTCTTCCCGTTTGTGTGGTGTGGCAGCCAGTGACAGGCCTGCCTGGTGACGGAAGAGCTGCGTGTGTGAGTGGGGGGGGCACCGACGGTGTCCGGGACGCAGACCCAACCCCACCGGAGGAGGGGACCGTGGCTTACTCGGGGGAGGTGTTAAACGCTCTGTGCAGGCTCTTAGTAGGTGATTTATGTGATCGTGTGTTGCGTCAGTCCACGGGTCCGTTGGCCTAGTTGCAGGAAATCACCTTAAGAGAGCCTGTGTGTTTCAACCCCAGACGGGGAAGTCTTGAATGTGATCAGTACGTTTTCAGTGTTTAATGAGTAACGGACTGTCACGTCCTGCTGCCACTGACGATGAAACGAGTCACTGACGACAATAGCCAACCCCCCGGTGGGCGGGAAGATGACCGACTTCAGCGTGTAAAGCGGCAGGGACCGTGGTTGTGAGAGTCTGTTGGCCCAGATGCCTGCCGCTCCTGATCAGAGGCTGGGTTCTCCTTCCCGTCCCGGGCCGGTCTGTAACTTCGGTGACATCGGGCCGTACCTCTGTTACTCTCTCATTAGCCAGGTGTTGAACCTCAGGTTCAGCGTGGACTGTTGCATTTTCCCGAGCTGCTCCACCGGCTGCCACCCTCTTTGAAGCGAAGTGTGTCTGGAGCGCAGGGCGCAGAGGGGTCGGTGCAGGCGGAGCTCCCTTTGCTCGGGCGCTCAGATCCGCTCCCAGAGAGGCCGGCCTGCCGACCCCCTCGCGGGGATGGCGCTTCTCCGCCGAGTGGACCCCGCAGCCGTGACTGCGGTCCGGTGCCCTGCCGCCCACGGCTGGTCTCGCGGCCTGTGGGCTGTGCTGCGGCGAAGCTCGGGGAAGGAGGGCGCCAGGGGCCGCGTCTCCCAGCCTCCCCCTGGCTGGGGGCAGCGGTGGGCTCGCCCGCCCGCTCTGGGCGGACGCGAAGGTCAAGTCCCATTCTTCCCCCCGCCCCCCAGCGCTCCTACTTCCGCACGCTGCTCATGTACGGCTTCCACTTCCTGGTGTGGTTCCTCTGCGTCCGCGGGGTCCGCGACACGCAGTGCGGGTTCAAGCTGCTCACCCGGGAGGCGGCGTCCCGGACCTTCTCCTCGCTGCACGTGGAGCGCTGGTAGGTCCCCGCCGGCGCGTCCGCGTCCCGTGCTCCCCTCCGCCCCGGCCTTGCGGCTCCCAGGGCCAACACCGCGGTCCGACAAGCCCGACAGGCGCGTGCACACGTGCAGCCCGACCCCGGCCTCCGCGCCTCCACCGCGCTGGGTATCGCTTGCTCTGCAGATCTGGAAGCAGCGGAGGGCGCGGCTGCCGCAGCCGCTCTGGGTGCAGACGCAGCGCAGACGCCCGCGCCCCCGGCTTGTTTCCCTCCTGGCGGAAGAGGAAGAGCTCGGGAATACCCAGGCTTTCTGCTTCCCTTCCCTTCTCTCAGCTCCGTGTCCGCCGAGCCCCGAGCCCCTCCCCCTCTAGGAGCCCCACTGCTGTCCCCTCTCTCGCCCTCCGCGGCGTCTGTCCTTCCCACCGGTTCTGAAAACGAGGTTCGGTCTCCCAAATACACGCCCCTCCACCCCAGTCTGGCCCGCCGCCCCTCCCCAGCCGACCCTGTTGGGTTTCACACCTGCCCTTCGCCCACCTTCCCGCGTGTCCCCCATCCTGCACCGGACAGGGCTGCCTTCCTTGTTTTAAATTTGGAGCGCCCCACAGCCATGCTCACCCCCCGGGGGGGTTCCGAGTAGTGACAGGGACCCCGTGTTTCTCACTGGCATGTGACGCGGTGGTGCCACGTTGTTTTAAAGTTCCCGAGCACCTGGGTGTCTGCAGCCCTGCGTCAGTCTGGCCGTCGGCTCGGGGGCGAGGGCCCCCCGCCTGCCGTGAGAGCGCCCTCCGATCTCCGCACGGCAGGGGGCTGGTCGCTGGGTCTCTGGCCACGAGCCTTGCGCATGCGCTCTGTTTCAGGGCGTTCGACGTGGAGCTGCTGTACATCGCGCAGCGCTTGCGGATCCCCATAGCCGAGGTCGCCGTGGCCTGGACCGAGGTCGAAGGTGAGTGTCCTGTTCCTGCTGGAGGGCTGGGGGGCGGGGAGGGGTGCCGTCGTCCAGCGCTGCTGGCTGGCGCTCTTGGTCCCTGGCCCCCACCCCAGCCGCCGCTCTTCCTCCCGCCGCGGGCAGCCCTGGGCTCCCCGGGCGGACGGCGAGGGCCTGGGGGTCTGAGGCCGGCGGCGAGGCTGGCGATCGTCTGAGATCGACTGGATGGGGTTCTATCGCCGTTTTTCTAGAACTGTGTTCTGTCATCATCAGCAAATACTGGGAGTCAGGTGCCTGCAACCCGCCGTGCAGAGCTGAATAAGGAGTTAGAGTCGCTTTCACTGCAGATGCCACAGTCCATGCAGAGCCGGTTTCAGCTGGTGTCCGCACGTTTATCCGAAAGCGGAAAGATCCCCGAGGTCTGCAGCGTGAAGTCTGCAGTCAGCGTTCTCAGCTTCTGCTCGGACCTGCTGAGACGGTCCTGGCTGGGAAGAGTCTAAAATGCACTTCGGCCCTGATTGCTCCCCTCGGAATGGCCCTGCGGCCCCGTGGGCGTGGCCCTTGTGCAGAAAGGTGCTCACCGCGCGGCGACCGGGGGTCTTAGGGCGCAAGGAGGGGAAGGGCCAGCCCGGATGTCCGTCGTGTGAACAGTGCAGCCTCCAGCGGACCCCCGCCTCCCCGAGTGCAGAACCGGAGCGTCAGCCGCAGCCTGGGCCCGAGGGGATGGCGCCCGGCGGGCACGCCTGGCGCAGCTGAAGTGGGGACGCGTGGAGACGCGTTTCCTGTCTGTGTCCTGTGCTCACTCGCGTCACAGAGGCAGTCGTGCCCTGACATGGGTCACAGGCACCCCGCTGCCCGGCTGGCGCGGTGGAGATGATGCCGCCCCTGGCTGGTAACACCGAACGGGCATTTGACGGAGCCCCGTGACGGTCAGTGTTTCGGAAGAAGAAAGCTGCCGTGTGGATCCAAAGCAGTGAGGACAGGTCTTCTTTGAAGACAAAGCGTAATTAAAACGGCAAGGAGGCTTTGAACCTCTCCCGGGCAGCCGTTCCCTGTCTGCGGGGGGAGGACGAGTGACAGTGAGGAGCCCCCTGTAGGGGGTCTGCCGTGATCAGGTGGGCGGGGTCTGCCGTGATCAGGTGGGCGGGGCCAGAACACAGGCCAGGCAGACACACAGTCGTCTGAGGTCTGACCTACCGCAGGCTGCGTCCCCCCCGTGAAGACCGGAGCGTCTTCTGCCGGGTGTCGGGTGGTTTCATGCGCCTGTTGTCTCAGATGGCGCTGCAAGTGGAGGCAGGCTGTGCGGGTCACCCCAGGGTCCCGGCCGCGCAGCCAGGCCGTCCTCCAGGGAGCAGGGCCCCGAAACGGCCACGTCAGACGCCCGGGCTCCCCTGGGGAAGCCGCTCGCTTGGGCACGGGGTCCGCGGTGTGAACTTGAGGAGGCGGGTGTGCTGACTGGTGAGACAGCGGTGACTGTCGCACACCATGTGTGACACGAAGTGACCGCATCGCCCACTCCCAGCGCGTCCCAGCTGTGTCTGTGAGTTGCGCCGCGGAGAAGAGGGGAGACATGGAGAGAGAGAAGCCGGCGCCGGCCTGTGGTCTGGGCCTGTGGCCTCACCGCCCGGCCCGTCACCGGGGGACAGGCTGCCCTGCCCCCAACGCGCACAGGACACCTCCAGGGCTGGGCTCCGGGGACCGGGTCACCGGGACCTGCTCAGGGCAGGGCGGGTGGGGCCGCCGCCGCTGGAGTCCGTGGCGGAGTCGGGAAGAAAATCAGGTTTTTGTCCTCGGGGTCCTGCTGACTCCCCGTGGTACCTGTGAGATCAAGCAGTGGTGGGTAAAACGTAAAAGCTTGTCCCAAAAGTCACGTTTAAATGTACGGACGGAATGAAGCGTTTCACACGCATGCATGCGCGCGCACGTGATACAGAGAGCGTTGAGTGGGAGCTCTCCGAGGCCACGCAGGCCGCCTTCTGACGTGCGGTTGTGCAGCGAGCTGGTGGGTCTTCTCCCGCGGGTTCGGAAGCTAATCGGTCTTCACTCCTTCTGTGTCGCAGGTTCCAAGCTGGTCCCGTTTTGGAGCTGGCTGCAGATGGGCAAGGACCTGCTGCTCATCCGCCTGCGCTACATGACCGGGGCCTGGCGGCTCGCGCGGGCCGGGAAGGCGGAGTAGCGCGGCGCCGGCCGGGTGTGCTGCGCGTCACGGCGTTTTCCAGCGGAATTAAAATTTTACGTGAAGTTAGGATGGACCTCTGCCATTGTCTGCCTTTTGATAATTTTAATGAACGCCCATAAGTAAATATTTTTATACATCTTTTGGACACAAAAAAATTTTTAAGGTGTTTATAACAAAAGTCAAGTTGTCTTTTGCTTTAGAAATTTTATTTAGATTATAACTATGATTCTGAGAAACAATTCTTAAGCAAGACAGAAGGAATTATTTTTACTCTAAAGTATCTTGCATAATTCTTAGGTACTTAAATGTAAACTACAATCACTTAACAGTAACTAGGGATTTACAGAGAAAGTTAACATGTTTATCTTATTTTTTATTTTTTAAAGGCATGGAAGTATGTGATTTATTGTTTTTATTTAAATCATTTTTTATTTTTCAATTACAGTTGACACATATAATTAGATCCAGGTGCATACCTCATTAGACATTCCATAACTTAATAAGTGACCACCCCAATAAATACTGTGCCCACCTGACTCTCTACGTAGTTGTGAGACTGTCACTGACGGTACTGCCCGTGCTGTGCCTTACGTCCCCACCACGGTCCTGCGACTAGTTCCTACTTCTTCGCCCCTCCCCTCCCCCCAACCCCTCCCCTCTGTCGGCCTGTGTTGTCTGTGTCCGCGGTTCTGTTTCTGTTCTGCTTGTTGGTGTGTTTTGTTTTTTAGGTTCAGTTGTTGACAGGTATTTATTGTCATTTTATTGTTTGAGTTTTTCTTTCTATTTTATTTTATTATTGTTCATGGGTTGTTGTTTTTTTCTTCGTCTTAAAGAAGACCAAAGAAACAGAAACAGCAACCGTACAACCAACAGTGTAATGGCAGGCTCAAGCCCTAACATGGCCGTGATACGTCGTCTGAAACGCGAGTGAGCTAAATGCAGCAAGGAGAAGACAGATGGGCAGGGAGCGTGTAGAAATGTAGAGAGACACGACCCAGCTATGCGCTGCCTGCAGGAAACTGAAACCAGAACAGTAGAGGCAGGCGGAGAATACAAAGTGGGGAAGGTGCATGTTACAGACCGCCATCGAAGGAAGGCAGAAGTGGCAGTTGCCGCAGATTAAATAGACTTTAGGGCAGAGGTGAGGACTTTGGGTCAGACACATGGAGGAATGTCGTGTAGCAGCTAAGACTCGACCCACCAGGAGGACAGAGAGCTTTAATGCACGCGCTCAACACGGGGGGCAGACAACGTGTGGGGGGCGAAGCTGTCAGGGCGGGAAAGACATGCTACAGTAGAAGACTTCAGTACTTCCTTGTCAACAAATGATTTCTTTAAAAAATGACACAGAAAGTCGTCAAGAACATAGAGGAGCACCGTCAACCTATAGAGTCTAACGGGCATTTGTAGAACAGTCCGCCTGCCAGCAGCGGGACACGCACTCTCCGGACGCCCCGGAACAGCTGTCAACACAGACCGTGCCTCGGGCCACGAGACACACGCCCACATGTGTGAAGGAATTAGAGTCACACAGACAGTGGGCCCTCCGACGCCACGGGGTCAGCCTGGGAAAGCAGAAACACAATAGGGAGGTCTCCGTCCGAAGCCCCGGCAACCGCGCGTCTCGTTGCTAAGTAACGTGTTTAGTCTCCAGGGGAATTTTAAACACCCCTCCCCCAACTGCCCTGGCCGGGCCGCTCAGTTGTTGGGAGTGTCGCCCCGCAACCGCAGTGTCGGGGTCCGATCCCAGTCAGGGCGCCTGAGGGAGGGGCCGACCCGCGTGTCTCCCTCCCTCCCTGGACTGGTCTCACCCCGTCCTTACAGTGACGGTCTCGCTAGTGTGACAGTCTCCCTAGTGTGACGGTGAGTGCAGGGCAGGGACTCTGCGGGCTCGGAGAAGCCTCGGGTGTTGTGGGTGTGTCAGCCCCCCCACCCCACCCCCACCCCCCCCCCCCGTCCGCCGCGAGGTGGATCGCTGCCTGATCTCCATTGACGTCTCGATTGATCGCTGTCAACGTCCCCCGGCCTGCCCGACCGCGGGCATCGTCCAGCGAGAAGTCTCCGGCCTGGAGCGTCGAAAACCACATTTGACACGTGCGGTCAGTCCCAGCCCCTTCTGAACACACTGCTCATCCTTCCGTGGGTTTCGGTTGCGTTTTTACCGTCCTCGAGATAATAAAGCATGATGTGCTGAGAATGTTGCTTATTTTCTTCCATCTTCAATTTCAGTATTAAAACGGCTACCTAAAAATTCACCAATTTTGGTAAGTTTCTTTTAATGCACGCTGATACGACAGCTGTCACAATACAGTCCAACAGCATTGTTTCAGATGAAGGTAAAGACAACTAGGCACCACTACAGCCATTGTACAGAAAAAAAAGGACTTTCTGGCCAATCCAGTCCATTTTTCAATCCTCCCCCCAGGGCATGTTTGTTGACTGGGGGGGGGGGGCAGAAAGAGAAAATGACCGGTTTCCTCACATGCGCGCTCCGACTGGGGGCTGAACCTGTAACCCAGGCTTGTGCCGGGACCGGGAATTGAACCCCAGCCTTCTGGTGCGTGGGGTGATGGGCCAGCCCAGGGGGCCTCCCTGGCCGGGGCCTCCTGATGTTTGTAACCACAGACTCGTCATTCGTTCCACGAGTACCATTGCTGCGGGGGGGGGCGGCTGCAGTAGCGGTCAGAACCAGCGCCCTCCAGACAGACACACACAGGTTTACGAGACCACGGAGTGGTTCCGTCACACGGGGAAAACTCCACGGACAGATTTTGAGGACCACTGTGGGTGAGGGCAATGTTTTCTTATTCCCCCGCCCCCAGCAGTCTCCCACTCTGCCGCACCTTTTCCTTCCAAAGATTTCCCCTCCCAGTTCCCCCGCCAGCCCCGTCCTTGACTCTTGACCCATACAGGCTCTTGTTTGTTTTGCCGAGTTCTGTAGGTTCTCCCTTCCAAGGGCCCGTACTCTGCATCCCCCCACCCCCTGGGGCTTGTCCAGCGCCCCTGAGCCCGTGCTGGCCTGGCCTGGCGGACGGACCCCCTGCCTCTGGTCTCCCCCGGCTCCTCCCCACCCCTTCCGTGGACGGCCTGCAGGTTGTCCTTCTCGGTGACCGTACTCTGCTCTCCATCCAGCCCAAGGTCGGAAAGACCTGGGCCGCAGCGTCCGGACGAGTTTGAATTCTGCGGCGGCGGCGGGGGGGGGGCGGGAATTTCTCAGCACCAGACCGCTGTCCGGCCCCGCCCACGGCGCCAAGGTGCTCCACTGCCCCTTTGCCCCGTCCCAAGTCGTTCATTCAGTGTTGTCCTCCTCCGCCCACACTCAGGCCCGAAGGAGCTCTGTGCAGAGCAGACACCTGGGCGGGGGCGCTGCCAGCCCCAGGGCTGCACCCGGTGCCACTGGGCCTGTGGGCTGGCGGGGTGGCGGGCATCCCTCCGGCGGGCGTCGCCTCTGTGGACACCTCCCTGGAGCCCTGAAGCGGTACAGGGGTCCTCGGCTCGTGCGTGTCTCCCGGTGAGGCCCGGATCGCAGCCCGGGACGATTCCCACCCCGCATACGGTCCCGTCAGGTGGTGCTGGTGGAGGTTCTAATGAGCAGTGGAATGGCAGCCGATCGAGAGGAAAAATAAAATAAAGCAAAGAATCCGACTTCCTGTTACAAGGAGAGTCAGCTTCTGAAAAATGGGGCGTCAGCAGGGAGCCCTCCCTCCCAGAAAAGGCATTTATTTCTTCTTGCGACTCCGCAGACAGACCCCAGGGCTCTCGGGCACGTAAGGGACCAACTTCCCGCCGTGGGCTGGGGGAGTGAACGGCGGGACTCGGGGGCGAGACAGGCTGGCTGACCTTCGCGTGCCGGAGTGTCTTGTTAAGAAAATGAGAACGCACAGAAACGGCGGACGACACACTGGAGGAATCCGTAAACCCAGGCCCTGCCAGGAGCCCGGCGAGTCTGCGACTCACAAACACTGGGCGCCAGAGGCTGCGGCCTCCGTCCCCGCCCCCGCTCGCATCGCGTCTCACGCACAGAAGAGAAGGACCCTGCCTGCGGTCGTGAGGGGGCCATTTCTTTTCCTGATAATACACATTTTCTAAAGTAGCCACTTCTGAGTGGCTTCAGCTCTGAGGACCTCGTTAGCTTACCCGCAATAAAACACGCACCACGCGCCCCCTCGCAGCCGTTTCCTGGTGCTTCCCACGCACAGCGACCTCAAACTGAACTCCGTGGTCGGCCCGGGTCTGCGGGCCGGGGCCAGAGAGACGATTTTCTCTGTTCAGGTTTAAGGTCCTCTTCCAAACGCTGTCTTAAACCAGCCCATCACTCAGCTACAGCTGGGAGCTAGCACAAACCTGCCATCCCCCCCCTCCGGGAAGAGAACGCGGTGCTCAGAGAACCGAACTGCGTGGGGTCAAGGGCAAGGCCTGGCGCTGACCTTTCAGGAGTGCCATGGACAGGACTGGTTTTTCAAGGCACAGGAGCAAAGGGAACGCTGTCCTACGCGCTTTATTCTACCTCCACCTCTTACAGTGAGGGCCGCGTCTGTGGAGAGCCCCTGGCCCACCGGACCCCTGAGGCCATCAGTCCGGGGTTCCCTGAGTGGGTTCTCCAGGGCCCACGGTGACCTCAAAAGGCGGGCCGCCTAGGGGGCAGCCAGGCCACGCAGCCGGTTGTACGCTAACGTCGCCCCATGCCCGCCGGTTGTCTATTAGAATAGAGAATATTGTATCTTAATGACTTAACAAATAAATACGCGTAAAAACACGACAGTCGCACGGTTCTGGGACTTGTTTCCATCGCCACGCACCACTCGGAGCGATCAGGGACTCTGCTGCCTGCACCCACGCAAACGGAGTGCGGGGGCACGGTCCGCGGGCGAGGGGGCCCCTGGACTGCAGAGTTGGCGAGGCACACTCGGCAAGTGGCCATCGGGAGTGGCAGGGCTAGGCGTGGGGGGGGGGGCGGTTCCAAACCCAGGTGCCGGCCTTTCATCCCTTCTGGTGGCCACCCTCCTCTGGCCTCCGGCTCCAGGTAGAAAAAAGTCCCCGGGGCGGTGACCAACGCCGGCCGACCCCGCGGTTCCACCTGGGGACGCGGGGACAGCAGGGCAGGGGTCCACCGGGCCGGCCGCCGCGAGGCGCCCCCACCTCCAGTTTCCGCGCACGTGGCCGGGCGGGCGGCGCTCCCCCGGCGCGGGCTCCCCCGGAGACCGGCGCGCGGCGGGCGGGGCGGGCAGGGAGCTGGGCTGCTGGCGGCCTTCCAGGTCGGCGCACTAATGCGGGCGCGGAGGCTCGGCGGCTCCAGTCTGACTGACGCCGGCTGGGGCCGCTGATCCGGTCCCCGCCGCCCCGGGCGCGCGCAGCCAGGCCGGGAGTGCACGGCGCGGAGCGGGCTGCGGGGACCCACCGCAGGGCGGGGGACCGCCGGACGGGGCGGGGGGGATTAGCGCCACTCGGGGACAGGTAAGCGGTGCGCGGTGCGCGGTGCGCGCGGGGCGTGCGCGCGTGTGTGCGTGCGCGGCTAAGTTTCCCACCGCGGGGAAGTCTCCGGGGCTGGTGGTGGGTGGCTCGGCTCTTTGTGCTTTCCATCTCCGACTTCTCGGCGCGCCTGTTTGGGGGGCGGGGGGCTGGGAGTCGGGGGGCAAGGGGCCGGAGGGGGCCGCTCCGGGGAGTGGCGCGCGCCCTCCCCGAGGCCGCAGCCCGGCTGCGGGCACCTGGGACCTGTCAGAGGAGGCGCGTCGAGCAGCGGGGAGGTGGGGGGGGGGCGAGGGCGGGCCGTGCGGGGCTGGGGCCCAGGGTGCGGGCAGGGACGTGCTCTGGCTCTCGGCTCCCCGCCCCGGGCGCCGCCGAGACCCAGACTCCGGCTGAGTAACCGAGCGCCGCGGCTAAAGGGGGCGGGGGCGGGGGGCTGCAGTGGGACACCGGGGAGGGGGCCGACCGCGCCCCAGCCGGCCCGAGGCGTTAGGGTTCGGCTTACCGCCGCGGCGCGGGGGGAGGACGGGGCGTTGGGAGCGCTGTTCGGCGTCTCCGGGCGAGCGCCGGGGCCGCCTCGGGAGCTGGATGTTTGTCTTTTCCTGCGCCTGCCATTCGGTGCCAGCGCCGGCGGAGGGGCGGGGGCGAGCGGGGAGCGGGCGCAGGAGACTCGGCGACGCCGGCTTTGAGACGGAAGGAGGGGCGCAGGGAAGGGTTTCTTTGGAGGGCCGGTCGCTGACGAGTCTCCCCGCTGCGGCGCCCGCCGCCCCTGCCTCCCGGGGGGACGGGAAAGGGTCGTGGAGAAACACCCCGTTGCCGAGTTCCCGGGCGGGAGCTGGCGCTCCTGAGAAGTGACCTGCGAACGGTGTGAAATCCAGCTTCGGAATAAACTTGCGTGTGGACTCTTTACCCAGCAATTCACAAGTCAGATGCACGCACACCCTCAGGGCACTGCGGTTTGCTGCTTTTTCTCTCTCTTTTCTTCAGTTTTTATTTATTGATGTTAGAGAGAGACAAGAAGGAAGAGAGAGAAACATCGACTTGTGGTTCCACTTACTGGTGCGTTCATTGGTTGTCTGCGCCCTGATGGGGGATCGAACCTGCGGTCTTGGCGTGCCCGCCGTGCTCCAGCCAGCCAACCGAGCCACCCGGCCAGGGGCCCGTGGGCTTGCTTTCCCGGCATCCTGCCTTCCGGCCCCGTGTCAGCGCCCTGCCTGACTTCCGGGGCGATCTTTGGGAAGCGGGGTTCAGTGGGAATAATGGAGGGTAACCGGGAACCCACAGGCATCTACCAACGCCGCCTCCTGGGTCATGACCTGTGCTCGAAGGACCCCCTGGGTGGCTGAGGGGGGGGGCAGGCTTACCCCCTGCCTTAGGGCTCCTGGGGGGGCGGGAGGGCCTGCCGCAGGGTGTTTACATTTCAAAAATAGTGATCTGTATTTACGGAGGAAGTAACAGGACAGCCCAGACACATTCCCCGAACTCCAGGCGGTGGACGAGTCACTCCCCCAGTCTCTGTGCCCGCGGGAGCCGGGGAGCAGGGCTTTGGAGCCCTTTCCAGCCCGCGGCTCTACATCCGAGGACACTGCAGATGAGGAGGTGATGTCATCGTTTATAAATAAGGGGCATGTTCACTGTAATGTGACAGAGGCTTCAAATAATGAAAACAGCTTCCAGCGGTCCTAGCCGCCTTCCCTGAGGGCAGGGAAGCCGTCTTCTGCAGACAGACAGCCCCGGCCTCCCTCTGGGGGGGGGGGCCGCCACCCCCTGCCCTCCTGCTCGACTGGCTGCCTTTGTCGGGGTGCCCCCGCCCCCGGCGTGGGTTTCCAGCGGGGCTCCGGGGGGTGCCAACAGCTCCTGGAGCAGAGCGAGCTCGTTTTCTAGGTCAGCACAGCGCTGACTGCAAGTCCAAGCTGTACACAAATTCCAGGGGAGCCCTGGGTGCCTGACAACGCTCACACACTCGCCATCAGTATTTTCACATTGGCCTGAGCTGCTCGACTTTTCTTCAAATCTTCTTTTCCCCTTCAGTGCCCAGTTCACGAGTGACCGGCAATCACGCAGAGAAGTCAGCTCCTGTGACTCGGACTGGCCCCTGGCCAGGAGGGGCAGGGGAGCCGTTTGGGTTTTAGGGGAGCCGCGCCAAGGGCGTCTGCTGGTGGGTAAACAACCGGTAACCTCGTGTATCCGTCCTCACCGCGCATCGGGGGGAGGAGAAAAAGGTCAGTCAGGAAGTTATTTCATCAATATGGAAACATTTCCCTTCAGTTTCACAGATAGTTTTCCTTCTGGTTAGTGAGCGTGCACTTCCTCTGCCTGAGTGGAGAGCGAGTGTCCAGTACGTGGTCACTGTGGCCCTTCGGCTGCTGACCAGCTCACATAGGGCGAAAAACAAAAAACCAGCAATTCCATCACATTCTGTCTTCATACGTCTGAAATGGCACTGACCCACAACATGTATTCTGACTTAAGGGAAGATAAAGGTTACGGAAAACAAGGAAGGTGTTTTGTTTTGTTTTGTTTTGTTTAATTTGCAAAATGCACCGCATGCAGTTGCACAGCCCCGTGAGGCTCGGTGCAGATTTTCTGTGTGTCGCCGGCATGGTGGTGAGTGGGGGCTCTGGAGCCGGGCGGGCGGTGTCCAGCAGGAAACGGTGGATGGTGCAGTGAAAGCATGAAGCTCTTCAAATAGTTACAATTTTATAGTTCCAGGCTGTTGGGCTTCCGGTCCCTTGGTTACCTCCCTTGGTTACCGTTGCTGGTGAGTGGAAAGATTAGTCTAAGGCAGATCAAAAGCCCACAGTAAACTTCCCAGCCCGTCTGTGGTTTTCCCCCTAGCCTAGTCCATGCCATGAGGAAGGGGCTTAACGATAGAAACAACTATCGCTGGGCCATGAGCTGACCTTTTGAAGTGTCTCTGTAAGCCCGGTCTCTCCGGAAACACGTGCTAACGAAGGTCGTTGAGGTTTCCAGGTCTTTGCTAGCACTCGGAGCCGCCCCGCCCACGAAAGGTGCCGTTCCTCTAGCAGGCCCACCCACGCTGGCCTCCCACCCAGCTGCCCTGAGCAGCTGGCCCTGCCCGCCCTGCCGCCGGCCTCAGGCTGACCCCGGGGCCTCCGCGGGCCTGTCTGCCCACTGCTCCCGCGTCTGATGCTGCGAAGTGGGAACTTAACCCCGCCCCCCGCCCCCCCCCCCACACCCCGCTCTCGGCAGGCCTGCACCCTCACTCACCTGTGCTCGCACCAGGGCCTGAAAGCCTTGCTCCCCCCGCCCCCCCCACCAGGTCCCCTCACCGGATCCTCAGACTCAGTCTCCCCCTCGTGGGGTCTGACCCTGGGCAGGTGCGGCCCTCACAGGCCTCTCTCCGGTGACCCCGGCCCGGGCCTGCCCCCCGGGAGGGGCGGTGACTCCTGGCACTTTCCACTCTCGCCACGCCAGGTCCCGGAATGAGTTGCTCGCGTGCTGATTTCCCCCCGTCTCTGCAGTGGGGGGAGGGGCCGCCACGTCCCCGCCGTCCTGTCACTCCCTCCCGGTCCGCAGGTGCTCATTCCGCGCCCCCCCCCCCCCGCCGTGGAACCCGCGGTCCACTCGGAGATGGAATCCGAAGGGGTTTCCCGTGGGACGGGTCCTGATGCCCGTTTCTCAGGGAGCGGGTGTGGAGCCGGAGCTGAGGGCTCCTCCCGAGGCCGTGGGGTCTCCTCCCGAGGCCCCTGCCCACCCGCAGCCCCGCAGAAGCCGACCCCACGTTTCGTGTGCAAGTCTCCCGGCCTGCCCGCAGGGAAGGGGCAGCCTGGCCGGCCGAGCGGTGGGGCAGGGGGCTGCGGCCGGGGTTCTTCTCGGCCTCGGCGCGGGGCGCAGGCTCGCTTCTGCGCCCGGGGGTCGTGGCGGCTGAAACCCGCCCACCCCGAATGCCCACCGCCAGGCAGCGAGGACCTCGGGCCTCGGGCCTCGCGCCCCCTGCCGCAGCCGCAGCCGCAGCCGCAGCCGCAGCCGGGCGCCCCTCCCTCGGGCCGAGGTCTGCCCTCTGCTCTGGCGCGCCCCCTGGCGGCCGGCCAGACGCAGACTCGCCCCGTGGGCGGGGGAGGGGGGTGTTGCCTGTCCCGCGTCTGTGCGTTGTTGTTGTTGTGTTTGAAGAGCACTGACTAGATGTTTGATGATTTCTTTTTGCTGGTTCAAATTTTTTTTTAATTTTTATTGAGTTTATTGAGGTGACACTGGTTAATAAATTATATAGGTTTCAGGGGTGCAGTGCTATCACACATCATCTGTGTATTGTGTTGTGTGTTCACCCCAAAGTCCAGTCCCCTCCCCCCACCATCTGTCCCCCCTTCCCCTCGCCTCCCTCCCCCTCCCCCTTCCCCTCTGGAATCACCGCGCTGTTGCCTGTGTCTTCAGATTTTCTTTTTTTTTTTTTGCCTAATCCCTTCCCCTTTTTCACCCAAACCCCCCCACCTCCCCTCTGACACCTGCCAGTCTGATCCCTGCGTCGGTGAGTCTGTTTCCGCCCATCGTGTCCACGAGATCCCACGTGCGAGTGAGATCGCGCGGTACTGGTCTCTCTCCGACTGGCTTATGCCACTGAGCATCATGCTCCCCAGGCCCGTCCGTGCCGTCGAGAGTAGTAAGACTCCCTTCTTTTTGACAGCCGAGTAGTACTCCACCGAGTACACGTCCCACCGCTGTTTTGTCCGCTCATCTGCCGCTGGGCACGCGGGCTGCTCGCGGAGGTTGCCGGCTGTGAACAGCGCCCCCGTGGACGCAGGGTGCGTATTCTTTCCTCCCACGTCCCGGGCTTCTCGGGCCCCCTTCCCAGCAGAGGGATTGCTGGGCCACGAGGCCGTCCCTTTTTAACTTTCTGATCCGTTTTTACGAAATGCAGGGATTGTGAGCTGGGCAGGGCAGGGGACGGGCCTGGGAACGTGGGTCGGGCTGGCTCCCGAAAGCCTCGGAGGGGGTTGTCGGAGCGCCTGTGGGCCGCGCCCGGGGGCTCCGGCAGACGCGCGGGCGTCTCCCGGGCAGAGCTGGGTGGAGGGGGCGGGGCCCGCCTGCCGCCGCGGCCGGGATCCTCGCGTCTCGGCGGAACCCACCGCGTAGCAACGCGTTTCTGAACATAACGCAGGGGAGGACCCGCAGACTGCGTGGGCGTCCTTCCCGTGGGGGGGCACCGGACGACGTCTCTGGCTCTCTCTGCATTTATCTCGCTGTTTTCTCCGCGAGGACTCGCGCCCGGAGCCCCGGCGTCTGGCCGGACGAGGAAGGAGAGCGGGTGTCCTCCGGCAGCGGCGAGGGTTCCAGGCGCCCAGGCAGGTGGGGGCGGGGGTGGGGCGGGGCCCAGAGCAGACGCCGCGTGGCCGGGCCAGGGGTGGCCGTGGGAGGGGCCGCCTGTCGGAGTTCAGAGGGACCTCACGGGCTGGCCAGGGAATCCGTCACACCCAGAACGCCGCCCCCCCGTGGAAATGACCTGCAGTTTCCTCTGGACGACACAGACGTGAGCCCGACCTGTCCTTCAGGGGACCGACAGTGAGTGCCGCGCCGAGTGGTTGTTACCGATGAGACGGGCGACCCTGGAGAGACAGTGACGTGGGACGTGGGGATGCGCTGGAAGCTAAAAGGGTTTTGTGCCTCGAGCCGTTTCCTTTCCCTTGTGGACGCGTTTGTCTCGCTCCCTCCCTCTCCGCTGATAGAACTGCGGCGTCCTTAGAAGTCGGATCAGATGCTTCTCCAAGACACAGGTCTGTGTACACAAGCGCGCCCCCAGGCTCACTGGTTAATCGTGAGCTCGCACACGGCGGAGTCGCTGTTCGCCAGCAGTGGCGGCAGGCGGGTGCCTGGCTGTGCTTTCTGTGGGGTGGGGGGGCACCTTCCTTCTGCCGTCAGGACCGAACTTCAGTGCACCGTGCACTTTTAGTTACTTTCAAAACGTTGTATTGATTGTGTGTTCAGGTCTTGACATGTTGTGAATTTGGGGGGATGAAATAATTGCTCTAGAAAGGGGAACTTGTCAATTCGGGGGGCTTACAGAAATTGTTCATTCAACCGCGACTCACTCTGGCCCCGGGGACCACACAAAACCAAGCGGGAGGACCAAGTCCAGGCGTCCCAGCTGCCACCCGGCCGGATCGGGCGCGAGGTCAGGAAAGCAAACTTCTGAGTGGTCATCGCCCAAGACTGTGGCGATTCTTTGTGCAAAAAAGAAACTGCAATCTGCACTGGAGTTCTCTCTGTGTTTCCTGGGTCGAACCCCGTTTTCACTGTGTGGGAAGTTTGGGAGTTAGGACGGCCCCGAGTGGGGTGCCGGACCGTGGACAGAGGGGGGCTGGAAGGCGTTCGGGGAACGGAGGGTCTCGCAGTGGGGACAGGTGGTGCCGAGGCCGGGGGTGCACTGCTGTGTTGGAAGGAACAGTCCCCCATCCCCTGCTCCCCCTCAGCCTCCCCTGCTCCCGTTTCCCTCCTGCGGGAAGCCCCCCCCACCCCCAGAGGCTGCTGAGAGCACCTGTAGTGACGCGCCTGTTCCCCGTCTGGCAACTCCCCCCAGCACCTACCCCCGTGCCTGGCTCACCACGGATTCTCGACGAATTTAGTCTCTTCCTTCCGCCGGCCCCCTTCTGCTCCCCAGAGATGGACAGGTCCGTGTTTTGTGGGGTGAGGCGGAAGGGAGCGTTGGGCACTTGGATTTTAATCTGTAGGCAGAGAGCGCAATTAAATGTTAACCCGTGGTCAAGGGGAAATAGTAAAGAGTCTGAGCAGGAGACTCACATAATCGAAGGGTGTTTGAAACAGAGTGGAGACAGCCCTGGCCGGGTGGCTCAGTGGGTTGGGCGTCGTCACGCGAAGTGACAGGTTGTGAGTTCGATTCCCGGTCGGGGCACATGCCCAGGATCGGGGTTCCGTCCCAGGTCGGGGTGCAACCGGTGGATGTTTTTCTCCCTCTCTTTCTCCCTCCCTTCCCCCTCTCTAAAAATAAACACAATCTTTTTTGAGAGGGCGAGGAGAAGGCACACTGAACTAGGATGAGGCTTCAGAGCGGCCACACTCACCCGGCGAGCCGGAGGTTGACACCCTGACACCCACGTCCGCGCTGCTGCTGCCGCACGGGCGTCTGTGCCCGTGAAGACCCCGCGCTGCCCGGACAGCATCACACAGGGAACCCGTGACCCCCCTCCCCCGGGTGCCTCCCTCCCCCCGGCAGCCTTCGGCTCTCAGCCTCGCACACGCACACACACACACACACACACGCACGCGCACACACCCCTGACCGCAAACACGGCCCACACACCAGTTTCTAACAGCCATCTCAAACGCTGCCTCTCTCCCGGGAGCACCCGCAGGCATCCCTGGGCATGTGGGTGTTCTCCGTGACCTCGCCGCCCAGACACGTGGTTACACGCGTGGGGGGAGGGGTGCGTGTCCAGTCCGGCCCCTGGAAGGGACGTGCGGAGTCCCAGCCGCCTCTCGCAGGGGTCGCAGGGGCCGCAGGGCAGGCGCCCGGCTGAATGCTCAGGGCGTCCCGAAGCGACAGCTGACGGCGTTTCGGACGCGGCCGGTGCCCCTCGCGGGCGCGGCGTGGACCGGGCATCTGGGCCGCCCGTGGCCGGCGGAAGGAGCTGGCGACTCGGGCCAGCAAACGACACACACCGGGGAGTGCGTGCGCTGCGAGAGGCACCCGTCCCCGCGGGTCCCCAGCAGCTGCGAGGGGCCAGCCGTCCCTGCCGCGCCTGCGGCCACGGGGAGGGGCTTCCGGCCCGCCCTGGGTGGGGGGTGCGGAGGGCACAGGAGGAGGGGCCGGGAGAGGCCGAGAAGGCAAGGGGCGGCCGGGCCGAGCAGAGCCTGGTTTGGATGGATGTTTCTCTCTCTCTCCCCCGACCTTGCTCTCTGAGATCAAAATAATAATAATAATCTTTCCAGAGATACTTGCACGTTTCCCTTTTTCTCAGTGTATAAGCAAATGTTATTTTTAGAAGAGGATGTCCTTCCATGCCCCCCGATACCACTGTCAGAGAACCGGCCTGCCTCGCTGAGTCAGCGCTGGGCGGAGGGCGCAAGCCGCCGGCCAGCGGGCTGCCGGGGTCCGGGCTCCCCTCGGAGAGCGGGGCTGCGGAGGGGGCTGACCTGGGCCTTCGGCTGCCAGCCGGTGCTCGGGAACCCGGGGTGCACACGCCACCGGGCTGCTCAGCCGGGGCGCCGGCCTCTCCTCCCTCCGACCGCCCAATGAAAAGCGACAGCAGCCCACGGGACAGGAGCTGTCGGTGTGAATGAACCAAAGTGACACCTTGTGTGTGTGTGGGTGTCAGATTGGCCAAAAAAAAATCTATTTTTTCAGTGTGCCGCAGAACGTCAGTGACAGGTGGACGTGGGCCACGCGAGGACAGAGATTTTTTAAAAGGTGTGTTTAGTTTAACATTTTTATAAAAAACTTTCCTCTAGCCCTGGCCGGGTGGCTCAGCTGGTTGGTACGTCTTCCCGTACACCAGAGGGTTGTGGGTTCGATCCCCCGTCAGGGCACGTGCCTCGGTGTTCGACCCCGCCGAGGGGGACGGAAGGCAGTGAGTCTGTGTTTCTGTCTCTCTCTCTCTCTTTCTGTTCCTTTCTCTCTATAAATATGTCCTCGGGTAAAGATTAACAAAAAGTTTCTTCTACCACCAAGCTAAGCTAAAGATTTATGCCAGAACTTACTCATAACAAACCCGTGTGAAAGTAAGCAGAAGTCGGGGCGCTGCGGGAATCCCGCCGGCCCCGCCCCGAGACTCCTGCTGGCGGCGCCGGCCCCGCGCTCCGGCCGCTGCATCCCGGGCGCCTGTCTCGGTCAGACAAGCAGAGCTTGGATGCGGCGACCGGCTCCGCTTCGTAAATTCACGGTTGTTAAGCCACAGCATCAACCTTTCCAAATAAAACCCAGAGCGAGTCAAACTGCCAAGCGAAGAAGGGTAACTTTCCAGTCCTCACGCCCCTTCTCTCCTCGGTCTGCCTCGGCGCGGGGCGCCCAGCGGCGGCCGCAGATGCAGCCCGGTGATGGAGGGTGTGCCTTACGTTTATCATTGCATTTTAAAAAAATTGTATATTTATTCTTACATGTTTTTTAAGATTTTATTTATTTATTTTCAGAGAGGGAAGGGAAGGAGATAGAGAGAAACATCCGTGTGCGTTTGCTGGGGGCCGTGGCCTGCAACCCAGGCATGTGCCCTGACTGGGAATCGAACCTGCGACACTTCGGTTCGCAGCCCGCGCTCAATCCACTGAGCTGCGCCAGCCAGGGCTTATTATTGCATTTTTATTTATTGATCTGTCGTCCCACTCATTCACGCACTCACTCATGGGCTGACTTTCAAATCCGAAACACCTGAAGAATGTTCTCTCCCTCCTGTGCACCTCCAACCTCTGCTGAAGATGACCCTGAGGAAGCTAACGTCAGTCCTGTCTTGGGTTTCAGAGCTAGCCAGCCCGCTCCGGGGCTCAGGAGAAGGTGCACCCGCTGCCCAGCCTGAGCCGGTCCCCGCCGGTCCCCGAGGACGAGGAAGACCCGGGACGCCCATGGAGGGTCACTTGCGGCCTCCGGCCCCGAGGCCCTGCCGGCCGTGAGGGGCGCCCGCCCGGTCCCCGAGTGCCCGGTGCCCGCCCGCCGCCCCCGATGCACCCCGGCACGCCCATCAGCTCCCTCTTCTCCTTCACCAGCCCGGCCGTGAAGCGGCTGCTGGGCTGGAAGCAGGGCGATGAGGAGGAGAAGTGGGCGGAGAAGGCGGTGGACGCGCTGGTGAAGAAGCTGAAGAAGAAGAAGGGGGCCATGGACGAGCTGGAGCGCGCCCTCAGCTGCCCGGGGCAGCCCAGCAGGTGCGTGACCATCCCGCGCTCCCTGGACGGGCGGCTGCAGGTGTCCCACCGCAAGGGCCTGCCGCACGTCATCTACTGCCGCGTGTGGCGCTGGCCCGACCTGCAGTCGCACCACGAGCTGAAGGCGCTCGAGTGCTGCGAGTTCCCCTTCGGCTCCAAGCAGAAGGAGGTGTGCATCAACCCCTACCACTACCGCCGCGTGGAGACGCCCGGTGAGTCGTCGCCGGGACCTGCGGGCGGGGTGGGGGGGGGGCAGGGGGGGGGAGAGGAGCTGGGGAGGGGCGGGGGCATGCCAGGCCCGGGAGGAGGGGGGCACCGGTGGAGGGCAGGAGGCAGGGAAGACCTGAGGGCTGGCAGTGAGCCCCGGGGAGGGGCGTGTCCATCCAGAGACGGTTCTGTCCAGGTGGCCAGGCCGAGGTGGGACCAGGGCTCCTCAGCCTGGGACTGGCGCCCTTATTAACTTGAGAGGCCGCTTGGGGGGCACAGTGAGGATGCAGCGAGAGGACAGGGCCCTCGCCAGGTTCAGCCTGACCTTGGACTTCGGCTCCAGTCCTGCGAGGCATTCGTGTCCATGGCTGACAAGCCGTCTCTGTGTTGTGGCAGCCCTCGTGGACGATGACGGCTGTGTTTGGGGGGAAAGTGTTTAAGTGTGGGATCGGCGCGGGTCTAGCGTGGCCCCGACGGTCTGGCCAAGTGGGGGGACGATAGGATCAGCCTTCTGGGCAAATAGCCCCCCGGCCCTTGGTTTCCCCCTGACGCTAAGAGCACAGCATCCAGCTGTCGGTCTCCAGAAAGGAAGACACAGTCCTTCTGTTCTGGGGTGCGGCCGTTCTGCGCCCAAGGGGGTCGGGGCGAGGGGCTCCGCCCTCCGCGGTCCTCGCCCGGCGGGCTGCGGGCTGGGAGGCATTCTGCAGGTCCCCCCCGGGACGAGGAAGTCCCCGAGGTGACCCAGGCCGGCTCCGTCCAGTGCTCCCTGGAACTCTGCTCGCATCCTGACGGAGACGCAGACACGGCCTGGCGGAGAAGCACTCTGTGGTTCGCGCTCCGAGCCCCACACTGTCAGACGATTCACGGGCAGGTCCTCTGCTCCTCCCTGCGGAGTCCTGGGGCACCCCGCAGGAGGAAATGCGGGGGCTTCTGGCCCGGGTCACGTTTGCGTGGTGAAGGACGGCGTCCACTGTGTGGTGTCAGAGGCGGTGGGCAGGAGCAGGGCCTCTCACGGGGAGGAGTCGGGGGTCTCCGTCATGCTCGCCGGGCCGGTTTGGTCCCCAAGGTCCCGGTCACCGGGCTGACCTGAGGGCACTTCCCTCGCGCAGGCCTGACAGTCACTGCCCACTGAGAACGGGACGCATGCACCCCGGCAGGTGAGGGGCTGGCTTTGCGGTCGGTGCCCTTGTCCCCCTTGACCTGGAGACCTTGACTTGTTACGGGAGTTTTTAACAGACACTTGCGGGCGGTAAGCCGCCGAGAGTGTGGTTAAAAAGTGGGGGTCACCCCGTCCACCTCCGGGGGCGGCCTCTTTAGTCATTCCTGCTTAGTTCTTCCTCTCCTCCCCTCTGGTGTTACCACGACGTACAGAAATAACCCCAGGGATACGCTGATACGTCCGTCCCCAAATTTATCTCCTTCAGGTAATTTCATCCACTCACTAACAACGTAGGAGGTGAGGGTTCGGCTGATTTATGTTGCACCCTCCCCTCCATCCTTAATGTTTATGTTTTGGTTTATAGTTTATGGGTTTTTTCGGGGGGGGGGTGGCAATTCTGTTGGTCCGCATTGTGGAATGGGGGGGAGAATTATTTTTCCTTGGGGAGCCCTGCCCACGCCGTCCAGCCCCCCCGCCCCTGCACTGGGGAGGGGGCAGCCTCAGTCAGTCCGACTCTCGGGTCTCCGGAGGTGACTTGGAGGGCCCCCCCCCGGCTTTCAGGGTGCTCCGCCTTGTCCAGATGTTTGACGTGCGGGGGGTGGGACCAGGTCTGCGTCTCTGTTCACTTTCGCGGGGCTGTGCGCTCGGCTTCTTCCGCGTCCGACAGGGATGGATCCCGGGTCTGGGAAACGCCCCGCCCCGCGGCTGCGTCTCTGACCGGTGCTCCCTGTGTCCGCCCCCCCCCCCGCCCCTGCGCCCTTCTCTGTCTGCACTGGCCCTGCCGGGCGCGGGTCAGACCTCAGGGGCCCTCGCGGAATCCCTTCTCCCCGCCGGCCCTTGTGGCTCCGGGTGGCGCTCGCCCTCGAGGATGGCGTGCACTCCTCGGTTCCCGCGTGGAATCGGGGTCAAGGAAACTCTCGCTCTTTTTAAAGCGCGTGCGGAACCCCGCAGGGACGCGCGGAGCGAGCAGGCTTTGTCTATAAGTTCCCTGCGGCTGGTCACCTTCCCTCCCCCACCTCTGTCCGCGCTCGCTGCGTGTCTTTTACCGGAGTACCTGTCCGTGGCCCGCCAGTCCCTCTGGCAGGACGGGGGGAGTTTTTGTGCTTCTCAGATCAGGCGAGATCGGGCGCCTTCAGCGTGGATTGGCCTCGGGAGAATTTTTTCACTTCACTCGCGCTATGGAGCCCCACACCTGGATGGGCCATCTAGATAATTCCACGTGTTACCTGGGCGGGGGGCGGGGGGACATTTTAGACTCACTTATGCTGTTACCGCAAGCAGTAGAACCCTGTTTGGGCTTTCAGAAAAGCCCTTTCGTGGCGGAGGCAAAGGGAGGCAGGAAGGACTAACTCGGCGGCGGCAGGCGACAGCGCCGCGCTGATTTCTGTGGTCGCAGGAGTTCGAGTTTCCGTGTGCCGCGCGGCCGGCGCACGGTTCTCTGCCGACCTGTGTGCTCGTCGTCGAGCCCCGCCTACCATCCAGGCCTCGCGGGGACAAACCCCCGGGCCGGCGCGAGGCGCAGGAGCCCACCCTGCGGGCGGAGCGGGGACTGCAGGCGACAGCTCCCCGGGCGCGCCCGCGGGGCGGGGCGCAGCGCCGCCCTCCGCCCCTAACGCGCCCCGCCCCCCCCCCGCCCCCGTCTCTCCCGCAGTGCTGCCGCCGGTGCTGGTGCCGCGACACAGCGAGTACAACGCGCAGCTGAGCCTGCTGGCCAAGTTCCGCAGCGCCTCCCTGCACAGCGAGCCCCTGCTGCCGCACAACGCCACCTACCCCGACTCCTTCCAGCAGCCGCCCTGCGCCGCGGGCCGGCCCTCGCCCGGGCCGCCGTTCCCGCCGTCGCCGTGCGCCGCCGGCTTCCCGCAGTCCCCCGGGAGCCCCTCGGAGCCCGGCAGCCCCTACCCGCACTCAGGTCAGTGCCCGCGCGCGCACGCGGCAGCCCCCGGGGCCAGTGGGCTCAGCAGATGTTTGCGGGGTGGGAAGAGCCCGGGGAGGGGAGGACACGCAGCGAGCGCCCTGCGGCAGGGCGCGGGGGAGCGCACCTACGAACGGGTGTAAGTCCGACAGTGACGGGGCGATGCCAGCAGCCTCCCCAGTGTGAGAAGGCGCCACCCCAGCCCACGCGCGTGCCCACGGTACAAATGTGTGTGGGGGCCTGTCGTGATCCGCCTCCTTCCTCCCTTCGTATGTTCATTTATTTCACAGATACTTACTGAGCTCAAACTGTTCGCGAGCATCGCCCTAGGGTGCGGAAGGAAAGTTAAAGAGTTAATAAAAACCGTCCCCATTTTCACAGAATTCAGAGCCTGTGGGAAGGCAGAGAGGGAGTCGACCCACGTCCCCTCTGAGTGATTTAGCTCTTCCCCCTGCCCCCCGCCCACCATGGTCACCCACTTATGTCACATCTGCTGTTCCAGCGGTCACCCTGTGTCACGTGACTGTGTGTCCCCATCCGCTGTCGGCCCTGGTGTCTCCCGTGTGCCGAGCAGAGAGCCCAACCCGCTCCTTAGTGGGCGGCACGGGCGTCCTGAACCCGGGGAGGAGCTGGGGCGACAGACACAGAGCTGAGGGGAGGCAGCAAGGAACAGCGGGGCCCCAGGTCGGGTGCCGACCTGTACACTCCAACGGCTGTGGGTCGGACCAGGAACCTGCATTTGTAACAAGTTCGCTGGTGGTTTTTAAAAGAAGATTTTATTCATTTATTTTTAGAGAGAGGGAAAGGGAGGGAGAGAGAGAGGGAAAGGGAGGGAGAGAGAGAGGGAGAGAAACATCAATGTGTGGTTGCCTCTCACACGCCCCCTACTGGGGACCTGGCCTGCAACCCAGGCCTGTGCCGTGACTGGGAATTGAACCAGCGACCTTGCAGTTCGCAGGCACGCACTCAGTCCACTGAGCCACCCCAGCCAGGTGATCTCTGGCTCCCCTGAGTGTGAGAGCTACTTGAATGGACAGTCCAGCAAAGGCGGACTGCTTGCAGTTTTCAGGCCGTGGGCCTGTTCCACTCCCGCGGGGAGGCCGCCCTGCGCCGTCGCTGGGAAGGTGCACAGAGGGGCCAGCTGTTCTGAGCTCCTCGCTGGGGGGTTTCCCTCTGCCTCGGGGGGCTCTGTCATGGGGGGTGTTGATTTCCGATAAGATATTAATGTCACCATTTTCCTAACGACGACCGCTGTCCTGTCATGCAGCCGCTATCTGGGGGGCGGCACCCCCTCAGCGTGCCTGGGACTGGGGTCCGCCTCGGGGTTCTGCTGGCCGGAGTTCGGGGGGCGGGTGTGCGCCGTCTCAGAGACGGGACAGCACCGTGGCCCTTGCGCCCCCACGGCAGCGGAGGGCCTGGGAAGGAAGCTCGTCTCAGAGAAGGGGCGGCCTCCTCTGCTCTGACAGCCGGGCAGCAGACTCGCCTGCTGTGGGGACACGTGGGGACGATCATCCTGGGCGTGACAGCCTCCCGAAGCCACTTGAACTCAGTGATAACTCCTGAGCCGGAGGGAGAACTAGCCAGGGCTTCGGTGCGGCGTTAGGACAACCACCTGCCCTGCGGGGCACTCACGGTGTCACGTCCTAATGGCCGTATCGTGCGGCTGGTCTCTCCGGCGCGAGAACACTGTCCACGGAGCAGAGCGGTTGGACGGCCAGGAAGGCCAGGTCAGGCCGCCTCTGTACACTTGTCAGTTCGGCAGTTTTGTTTCCCTGCTTTCTTTCAGTGGACACGCCACCCCCGTCTTAGCACGTCACGGGAGCCCCGGGGACCCGGGGTGGCCGGCCCTAGATGCCACGGCCGGCGGCCACTCGGGGCCAGGAATGCCCAGCGGAGGTGGCTGTGCAGCTGCGGCGCTGTCCTCCAAGGCGGTCTCCTGTTCCCCCGGAATATAAGGCAAATCGGAACCGAATCAGAACCGGCTGGGCTGGCGCGCTTCGGCAGGTGTTTGGGGGGGCAGAGGGCGTGGGTTTGCACCTCGGCCCTGGCCCTCCCCAGCACCACACCGTGCCCCAGCGTCGTCTTCTCTCCCGGGGCATGGCAACGTTTTATTGTAGCCCGACATTTGGAGCCATAGTTCTCGATGTTTGTGGGCCTTTCAGAGGCTAGTGGTTTTGTGCCATTTCTGTTTTTACTATAGATTTATTTTTTCAGATTTTATTTATTTATTTTTAGAGAAAGGAGAAAGAGAGGGAGAGAAACATCAGTGTGTGGTTGCCTTTCATGCGCCCCCTACTGGGGACCTGGCCCGCAACCCAGGCCTGTGCCCTGACTGGGAATCGAACCCGTGGCCCTTTGGTTCGCAGACTGGCACTCAACCCACTAAGCCACGCCAGCTAGGGCCGTTTTTACTGCAGATTTGGAGTGGAATCTGAGAGGGTTGCGCTTAGAAGTCGGGGTACACAGAGCGTTTCCAAAATGTCATTTGTGCCTTACAGTAGACCAGAGAAATGTCACTCCACTTCCCGTTCACACGCAGCCCCTTGTGTGACGCAGATTTCCATCCCCTGCCTCTGGCGTGGGGCCCCGGGGTCTGCCCTCCTAACGGGCTCCGGGCGCTGCCGACCTGCTCGCGGTGCCGGAACCACACTGAGCTTACCCCCCACGGCCGGCATCCCTGAGTGGGTGCTTGTGCGAGCGCAGGACCTCCTGTGGGTCCGAGCACCCCAGTTCACCCGTTTCATAAACCTGCAGCATGAAGGAACACACTCGAGAACGAGAACGGCAAGGACGTTCCCAGAGAAGAAAGGCTATGCCGTCGGCAGAAAGGCAGAAACAGGGCGTGGGGGACGGAGAAAGAAGAACCCTGAGCGTCGCTGGGCGATGGAACTGAGACTTTGGGGTGAAAACGTCACGTTCCCGGATCTCCTAATGAAACACAGAGCAACCCCTAACACGTTTTTATGTCACGAGTACTTACGTGTCCCGGGAGCACACCAGAGTCAACGGGAGTCTGTGTTATTCAGGGGGACGTCATGTTTCCTCCTTAGGTAATTCAGAGTCCGGTCCGATGCTTCGGAGTGGGCTCTGTCACCTCCACACGCCCTCGGTGCGTCCCCAGCTGGTGCGAGAGCCGCGCCCCACCCGGGGGTGCACCCTGCACGCAGTGCGGGTACTGAGCTGTCTCTCACGGGTGGAGGCCAGGCCTGACTCGCCCTCCCCCTCCCCCCGCCCCCCGCAGACCTGCGGCCCGTCTGCTACGAGGAGCCGCAGCACTGGTGCTCGGTGGCCTACTACGAGCTGAACAGCCGCGTCGGGGAGACCTTCCAGGCCGCCTCGCGCAGCGTGCTGGTCGACGGCTTCACCGACCCGTCCAGCAGCCGGAGCCGCTTCTGCCTGGGGCTGCTGTCCAACGTGAACCGGAACTCCACCATCGAGAACACCCGGCGGCACATCGGCAAGGGTAACGGGGCCCCGAACCGGGTGCGGGGGCCGGGGACTGGGGCGCCGTCCTCTGAGGGGCGGGGGGCGGGGTTCGGGTGGGTGTGCGGAGGACGGAGGAGGTGACAGACAGGAACTCGGGACGACACTACTGACAAAAAGGACTGTGAGTTGTTTTCGAGTCACCCGGACGTGCGGCACAAGGTGACGCCCGAAGGAGAGGAGGGCCTCTGACTCCCTGCAGGAGGGAGAGGCGCCTCTGGAGGCCCAGGAGCTGGGGTTGCACGTCCTCACTCCCTCCCTCGCTGTGGCAGAGACTGGGGCGCCCCGCGCCCCGGCGTTGTTGCTGGGGGGCCCAGAAGTCCGTCAGGTTTCTTCCCTACGCCGGCTCTGGTAGCACTGAGTCGTCTTTGACGTCGTTTGACACAGTTTTGTTCTATTGCGTTGTGACAGCCGTCCTCTCGGCGTGCACTTAAAAAAACACTCATCAAAACGGGTGAATTTTTGTGTAGCCTTTTCAATACTGAAGATGGAAGAAGACACACATTTTCAGTATATTATGGTTTATTGTTTCAAGAAAGGTAAAAATGCAACTGAAATGCGGAAAGATTTTGCAGTGTATGGAGAAGGTGCTGTGACTGATCACACGTAGCATAAGTGGTTACTGACGTTTCTAGGTCCTGTTGGCATTTGGGCCAAATAATGCGTTGCCGCGGGGCTGTCTGATGCATCGGAAGATGTTTAGCAGCAGCCCTGGCCTCTGCCCACCAGAAGCCAATAGCCAGAGATAGCCGACATCCTCAAAATCAATAAAGTTACAGGTGAAGACGAAAACCATGTCTCTTAGTTCATGGAAAAACCCACACGGACTCTTCGGCCGGCCCTGCACAGCAGCCCATGGGCCGGGGCCTCCCTGGGGCCTGGCGGGGAAGCCCCCTCCCAGCGGACCTAAGCTGTTGTTTCTCTTGAAGCGGCTTGAATGTATACACTTTAGTGAACATTTCCCACGATATTCCCTGTGCCCGGTTTTAACTGTTTTATTTGTACGGGCGCCCGAAGGACCATTGCATGTTTTCCACATCCTGTGTCCACTCTGTGTCTAATATTCCGAGCTCCCCATCGGAGCGAGCGGGCAGGTGACGGACGGACAGGACAGGACAGACGAAGGGTGCCCGCAGGAGAGCCGACCTGCTGGCTCCTGGCCCCGACTGTAAGCGTGGGCTGCCACCCGCTGTTAAACAGACTCACGGGAAAAACGCAGGTGACCGTTACCACCGGCGGGCGTTTGGGTCACGCCCTTCCCCCTCTGTGAGCGAGGACAGCGAGGAAGCCAGCCTCAGGGCAGGCAGGCAGGCAGGCGGCGGCCTCTGTGAGGGCCGCAGGGGCCAGCGGGAGGGGGCGGCGCCGTGCCCGGGGCCGCCAGGGGGCGGGGGCGGGAGCGGGACGGCTGCTCTCGCCCGGCAGGCGTGCACCTGTACTACGTCGGGGGCGAGGTCTACGCCGAGTGCGTGAGCGACAGCAGCATCTTCGTGCAGAGCCGGAACTGCAACTACCAGCACGGCTTCCACCCGGCCACCGTCTGCAAGATCCCCAGCGGCTGCAGCCTCAAGATCTTCAACAACCAGCTCTTCGCCCAGCTGCTCGCCCAGTCGGTCCACCACGGCTTCGAGGTCGTCTACGAGCTGACCAAGATGTGCACCATCCGCATGAGCTTCGTGAAGGTGAGCGGCGCCCGCGGCCACGCGCGGGGTGGGGGGGGCCGTAGGACGGATAAAGGGACGTCTTCCAGTGGCGCAGCCCTGGGCCGGCCGGCGGGTGCAGGGGGGCGGTGGGGGCTTGTTGGAAGTTTGTTTCATCATTTTCAGGAAGGGCTCCCCTGTGGGGAGGATCTCTGGTTTGGCGATTATGGGAACATCCCTAAGCATGATATTTGGGGAGGAAAAACAACTTAAGGTACCATAGTTATCTGGCTTTTTTCATGCAGAAGATAAAGTGACAAGAATACTTTTTTTTTTAAAATTCTCACCTGTGCATATGTGTATCGATTTGAGAGAGAAAGAGAGAGAGAAAGAGAGGGGAACATTGATGTGAGGGAGAAACATCTGTCAGTTGCCTCCCATACATGTCTCCACTGGGGACCAAACCCGCAACCTCGGCTTGTGCCCTGACCGGGGCTCGAACCCACAACCCTTTGGTGTGTGAGACAGTGCTCCAACTAACTGGGCCGCAACTAACAAGATACCGCAGCAATAAGGACGTTGAACTTGACGAGGTGAGGCAGAGTGGGCTGAAGGACGTCAGTCGGAGTGCTGGGAGGGGTGGGTGGCGAGAGGGGGGTGAGTCGTAGGGCCTTCGGGGTGGAGCAGTGGGCGCCCAGGCGGGAAGGGCAAGCCCTGTGGGAGCACACCCAGGAATTTGTGGGAGCCTGGGGTGGTCGTGCCGGGGGCAGAAGGAGGCAGGGGCAGCTGAGCTCAGAGCAGCAGCAGGGACAGAATGCTTCGTCAGCCCTAGTGAGGGTTCTGGCTTTTACCCTAAAGAGAAGGGGCAGCCGCCCTGGCTGGTGGGGCTCAGTGGATTGAGCGCAGGCCTGAGAACCAAAGGGTTGCCAGTTCGATTCCCAGTCAGGGCACAGGCCTGGGTTGCGGGCCAGGTCCCCAGTAGGGGGCACTCGAGAGGCAACCACACATGGAATTTCCTCTCCCTCCTTTCTCCCTCCCTTCCCCTCTGTCTAAAAATAAATGAATACGATCTTTAAAGAGGGCGGGAGCCACCACAAGGATTCGAGTCTCGGGTTTTCAGGGTCTGACGTGGGCTTTGGGGGCTCGCTCTGGCCGCTGCGAGGGGGGGACAGCCAGCCTGCAGGCGGGAGTGGGAGACCAGTCAGGAGGCTGTGGCAACGCTCAGAGGAGGGGGCGGCGGCCGCGCCCGCTGGGAGAGGCAGGTGGGGTGGGACAGGGGCAGCCTCCCTCTGAGACGTGAGAAGGAGAGAGGAGTCCGCCTTCAGCCGCCTTCAGCCGAGCTGGAGGAGGTGCAGGTGGGTCCGGTTTGGGTACAAGGTTCAGAGTTCGGTTTCGGTGAGCGTGACTTCCAGGCGTCCGTCCCACAGCCGAGCAGAGACTCTGAGGGGGCAGCGAGAGGTGAGGTGAGTCGGGCCTCGGGAGGCCAGGCTGCAGTGGAGGTGGCGATGGCGGAGTCACCGGCGTGGGGACAGCAGTGACCTGCGTGCGCCTGGGCGGCTCACCGAGGGTTGGAGTTTAAACGGAGAAGAGATGGGGGGGTTGCAGGACGGGGATTGCAGGAGAGAAGGGGGGATCCTGGGAAGCTGTACCCAGAGGGTGAGCTGGTCTTGTGCGCCCGGGGAGGGACCGACCAGCTCGCTGGAAAACGCAGCTGGTCTGTGCTGAGCGCAGAAAGGCCAAGTTGCCCCGAAGGTCCAGGAAGGGGGCCTGTGGCTCCTCAGGTCCCGGGAGCTGCTCTGGGGGGCGGGGCGGGGGCGGGGCGGGGGCGGGGCGTCCGCCATGCCCAGCCTCCGCCTCCACGGGCGGGGGGGGGGCGGCGGGGCGTCCAGTCTGACCGCGCGCTCTCGCCTCGCCTCGCAGGGCTGGGGCGCCGAGTACCACCGCCAGGACGTCACGAGCACGCCCTGCTGGATCGAGATCCACCTGCACGGGCCGCTGCAGTGGCTGGACAAGGTGCTGACCCAGATGGGCTCCCCGCACAACCCCATCTCCTCCGTGTCGTAACAGTCGCCCCCACCCCGGTCCCGCGGAGCAGACGCCGCCGCAGGCCGCGGCTGGCAGGTGGCCGAGCACGCGTATCGATCCTGCGCACAACACGAACTGCTCACCGACTCTGTCACCGTCACCGTTGCTTTGGGGCTTGCTAGTTAACCGGACGCCAGCGCCGCGCGACAGGAAGGGAGGCGCTGCGAGCCTGGGAGACGCGGAGCTGCGTCTGTCTGCGGGCGGAAGCGGAGGGAGGCCGCCGGGTGCGGAGGGAGGCCGCCGGGTCCGCAGGGTGCGGGGTGTTTGCGGGGCGCGGGGCGGGAAGGGCGTGGTGTGTGGGCCGCCGGAGACGCGCCAAGACTGTGCGCGTAGCAGAGGCCAGGTCCCAGCAGCGCTGGAGCAAAGGACGCTTTCAGACAAAGCAAAGCAATCCAGCTCACGTAATTTAAATGACCTCACCTTTAGTGCTATCCGCGAGAAAAAAAAAATCAAGCTAATACAATCAATTAAGTAAGAGAAGCCGCATCAGCTTTATGTCTGAAGTCGAGATACTTACAGCTGGGCGATTGCGCTGATCTTAACGGTTCGTTTGAAACAGAGTTGAGCTGTGATCGGAAAAGAGAAACTGTGACGCGTACGGTACGCTGCCTCCTGACCCCCCGCTGCAAACGAGTACAACGGCAAGTCCAGTGTGGCAGGCCAGGAGGGAAAACAGCATGGAAGGAGGTCGGCTCCCAGACTGCAAGGCGAGACCCGCCTAGTCCCAGAGCCTGTGGCCGCGGTCCCCTCCCCCGTCGGCAAATGTTCACTGTTCACAGGTCACCGGATCCATGGCGAGGCCTCGGGAGAACACCGAGGCCCGCGGCTGGGGCCCCGTTTGTGAATTCTCTAACTCGCTGTCTCGGCAGGGCGGACTGTCTGCGGCTGGAGTCTGGCAGCCTCTGACAGAGCTGAAGTCTCGTACTGGGAAACACCTTCCCCAGGAGAGCGATAATAATTTTGTGACCTCTGTCATTGCTGGAGAACAGTGGTACTGAATAACGGGACATTTTTTAAAATGCACAGTAAAACCATGTTCTTGTTTGCCTTTGGAGCATAAAGAGGAAGGGTCCCCAAATGTCCAGGTACTCTCGTCTAGGTATATGTATTATAAGCTCCACCTACTAAACGTTGTATTGCTCGGAAAACTACTGCACACCCTCTTAAAAATGTATAATTTAAGAAAGGAAATTATACGCCTGTAACAGATGGTACTTCCGTGATTCAAGAGGTCTCTTCACTCACACGTTCTGTCCCAGCTCTTCCTGGCGACAGTGCCCGCCTCAGGTGCTTCTCGGCACCTCGCACTGCAGGTACAGAGGAGCGTGTGAGACAGACGGGTGAGCTGCCAGCGTCGCCTCTCTAACGACCAGTGTGCTCTACCAGGGGCTTTCCTGTGCGTGATAGGCGACACCGCATTTCCCAGGAAGACTGGGCGGCCTGTTTAGTGCCTAGAAATCCCCGCAGGTCACTGGTTCGTGTGCTGTGGGCGGCGCACCTGTGCGCCCCAGGTGCAGCGCCAGGGGCTGTGGCGTCTACTGTAAGCGAGGGACAGCCAGCCCTCTGGGGCTCGGGGTCTGACAGGGACCCTGTTTGTGTGGCCGTCTCCAGGTTCCAGAGCTTGCAAAGCAAAGCAAAGCACACCACCTTTCTGCAGCCTAAAGAATGCCACTGATTTCTCAGTCACCTCTGTTTGGAAACCGACTTCCCCCCTCTTCCGGGCACGCAGGTAAAGAGTGGAGGCTTCCTTGGATAAATGCTGCTTTTCTTCCGTGTCCCCAGCAGCTCTCCCCCTCCCCTTGCGTCTCTTTCCCAACAGCCTTCCACCCCCCTTTTCCTCGGGAGGGGCGAGAACGCGGGGACTCTCCCTCCCACGAGTGCGGTTCTGCAAGAGAGCCGCCGGTTCTCCTGGCGCCCGACCCGGAGCGCAAGCCCACTTTCCGGATCGAACCCCCCTCCGGCGTTCTCGCACCCCACGGAACTCGGCAGCGCTGGTGGCTCACAAGGGACGTTGTAAAACCTGTGACTCCCACGCAGCGTTGGGAGCCCAGGACAAAACGTCCCCGCACACCTGAGTCACCTGTTTGACAAATAGAGGACGGAAGCGGTACACGGGCCTGGCCAGCAGCCAGGGTCTCACCAGAAGCCCAGGTTCAGGTCTGCGTCAGGCCCGGAGGGGTTCAAGTTAAGGGAATGAATCCTTCAGTCGTCGTGACAAGGTCACGTTTCAGCCTTTTTGAATGATTATTTTTACTGGGAAAAGTTGTCGGACGCTGTAATGCACTGTTTGGTTTCAGACGTAGATACGGGCTCATTTGCATTCATTCCCTGAAGGAGACCATCCGGAAAAATGTCACCCCCTCCTTCCCCAGGGCAGCTGGCCTCGGGGACAGGCCGAGCCTAGAAGCGCCCCCGTGGCACGGAGCGTGCCCGGGGGACCGTGGCCCAGCGTGCAACCGGGAGTGACAATGTGGGGCCTGCTCACGAGACCAGAACGTTTACCCCGTGGTTCAGGCGTGGTTATTTTTTTTTCTTGTAAAAAAGAGAGAGATGTAAAAAGTGTTAGTTAGATGATACTGTAATACCTGCCAGTGCTTCGGAGCTACAAAGATGTCGCTGTTCAACACACTGACTTTGTTTTGACTCGATGTAAGTCAGAAAAAGCTGGGATACAACGTAGCATTTAGAATCCCGTTTCATTGTCTTCTCGGGACCGGAACACCTCACAGCCACACACGAGCATTTGATAAGTATCACCTGCTACAGTTTTCGTGCCTGCTGACTTTCATGCGTCCTGAACATTTGGTGTGTGTGTGTATCTAGTAAATAGAGCAAAATACAACATGCATTCCAAATCTCGTCTTTCCCGGTTAGGATGTAACAGCCGAACTGTACGGCAAGATCGGGCAACCCTGGCGTATGCCGAGGATCAGTTCAAATTCATGGTGAGTGGAACTGTGGTTCTTCCTTTGAGTCATGTTTCCGATTGTGACATCTAGGTATCGGCTGGCCCTCTGAGGCGCACTTGCACCGTCACCCGACCGTGTATAATAAAGAATACTGCACCTGCGCGTCTCGGCTCGTTTTCCCGGCAAACCTCGCAGTGGGGTGGAGACTTAGGAAGATCTTCAACCGCCTCGTTCTGAAAATAGAACGTCTTAAAAGTCCAATATGCGCTAGGTAATGGTTTTAAAAAAATTAAACATCTTGGGATGGCTGGCATTAAATGTGGAATTTGAAGACACCTGGCTGTTACTTCAGAGGGGGTGGCCATCGGTCGCAGCTCCCGCTCTGAGTGCTGGCAGATGCCAAGCGGCACTGCGGCGGGCGGGAAAGAACGCACCGCTTGGTTACCGTGAGCACCAAGTGTCGCTGCGTGTCGCCCGTGAGAAAGGGGCCAAAGAAGGCTAGTGCGGAAGAGCTAAGGAAATCCAGGAAGATCTCCAAAAATGTAAATTCTCCATTTCCTCTCTTTAAAATTTCCTTTTGGTCCTAAAATAAAGGAGGGAAAATGTAACTGTGTTGTGAAAACTTCGCCTTGGTATTCACTTGGTCAAGGTATTCCTTTAAAGAAAGAAAGAAATGGAGCCTTTTATTCAAAACAAGTATTTGGTGGGATTCCAGCGAATGAAAGATCCTCGGGCTCAGCTGGAGGCAGGCAGGGGTCCCGAGAGTCTGGGTTAGGGGTCAGGATTCGAAGAGCAGACTGCGCAGTTTGCTGTTGGCTGCGTCTCCCCCCGTTCGCGACCCCGTGCTTGCCTCTAGCATGTGGTGTCGACGTTCCAAACTCTAACAAGTACAGATTTTTAGTAGATCATGGCATAGACATAAAACAGCGGTTTTCCACCTTTTTCGTCTCATGGCACACGTAAGCTAATTATTAAACTTTTGCAGCACACCTCCCCAATTTTTGTTTGTTGATCTGACAATAAATAAATAAATAAATAAATAAATAAATAAGTAAATAAATGTATCATTTCGAGTCATTCATGCCAGGCGGCTACTGCTGTGTGTTTTTCACTGGGCAACCCAGTGACAACTCTTCCAGTCTAAGGGAAAAGAGGTCGGCGCCCTAGGGGTCAGGCGTTGCGGTCTGAGGGGCTCCCCGGGCGCACGGGTTGAAGAGCGTGGGCCTGAGGCACTGGTCTCCCGCGTGAGTCCGTGGGAGGGCAGGAGCATTCCCGCCCCGCTGGAAAACAAACGCCCACGTGCACCCATCAGGGGGCTCCGTGCACCAGCTGCGCCCCCCACGCCCGCCCCCCGGGGGCGCTGTAGGTCACGCGGCAGCAGGGTTCCGCCGGAGAGAAGCCACGGGGTCTGGACGAGGAGGAACACGGGAAGCCACGCAGGTCAGTGTGCTGCGGGCAGTGTGACCGGCTGCGGGGGGGCAAGGGGTGGGTGACACCTCCGTCAGGCCCTGGGCGGGTCCCCAGGAATGGGCTGGGCTGCCCGGACTGACACCCCTACACCTGGGGCGGGGGGTGGGCAGGGGAGGTGCCTGCTGTCTGTGCCACCACCAGGAGCCCAGCTGCTGGCCGCCTGTCCACAGTCCCCCCCACCCGAGTCCCCCCGCCCCCCCAGTGCCGGCCCTTCCGGGCGAGGACTGCGCGCTCCTGCGCGTCGGCTTCCACCAGTGGCGTCCGTGTCCGCCGTGCTGGGTTCACGCCGCACGGGCAGGCCTGCTATCCGTTTCCAGTTCTCCTCGTGGGAGATCGGCAGGTGTTTACCCCCCCCCCGTGCACCCCCCTTCAAAACAAAGATAACCGCCCGTCTCCAAGTGCGTGTCCAGGGGCGGGAAGGCGAGAAGCCAGCTCGTGCCTCAGCTGGGAAGCGCAATGGCCCTGGAACCACACGGGTTAGGGGCGCCGACACCCCCACCCCCACGCAGCCGAGAGTCCGCACGTGAACCAGCGCCACCCCAATACGTTCCATAAAAAGGGGGAAAGAAAATCCCACGGGGGCGACGCCGGCGGCGAGGCAGGGTCAGGACGCGTCTGTATCTGCTTCTCCGCTGATCTAGGGTCCCACGCTAACGCAGCACCGACCCCGGCCCGACACTCGGGGGCTGGGGAGAGCTGCGCGCCTGCGCGCCTGCGCACCTGCGGGGGGCGGGGCAAGGAGCGGGGGAGGGCGCGTGCGCCTGGAGGTGGGAGGGGCGCAGGCGGCCGCCCAGCCTGGGGGCGCCGCGCTGGCCGCCCTGGAGGAGGTGGTGGTGCGCGACCCGACCTGCCGGCCTGTCTGCCGAAAATCCCACCGTGCACGGGGTGCAGGCCAGATGCACGTGGGTCGCGGAGAAGACGCCCCACGTTGGTGGCATTTTCCTCCCAGGGCGCCAAGGCCCTCCCCTAGGATCCAGGGGGCCCAACCCGCAGGGCTTGAGAAAATACACGCAAGTTCTAGCTCCACCTCCTGCAGAACCGGAGGAGCTCCTGCCGGCCCTCCCACCCACGGGAACACATTTGCTCCTAGGGACTCCGGGACCTAGTTGTTGTTTAGGGTTCTAGTTGTTTGCGTATGTCATTTCTTTGTTTGTTCTTTAGGTTTGGTTTATAATAGTTGTGTTTGTTGTCATTTTACTGTTCATATTTTTTATCTTTTTCTTAGATAAGTCCCTTTAATATTTCACACAATAACGGCCTGGTGATGATGAACTCTTAACTTCACTTTATCTGGAAAGCAGTTCATCTGCCCTTCCATGCTAAATGAAACCTTTGCTGGACAGAGTCATCTTGGATGTAGGTCCTTGCCTTTCATGACTTGGAATACTTCTTTCCAGCCCGTTCTTGCCTGCAAGATTTGAGAAATCAGCTGACAGTCTGATGGGAACTCCTTTGTAGGTAACTGTCTGCTTTTCTGTTGCTGCTTTTAAGATTCTCTCCTTATCTTTAACCTTGGGTTATGGAATTATAATGTGCCTTGGTGTGGTCCTCCTTGGGACTTTCTGAGCTTCCTGGACTTCCTGGAAATCTATTACCTTTGCCAGATTGGGGAAGTTCTCCTTCATTATTTGTTCAAATAAATTTTCAGTTTCTTGCCCTTTCTCTTCTCCTTCTGGCACCCCTATGATTCGGATGTTGGAACGTTTCAAGATGTCCTGGAGGTTCCTAAACCTCTCCTCATTTTTTTGTTATTTCTTCCTTCTGTTTTGTTTGAATGTTTATTTCTTATTTCTGCTCTAAACTATCAATTTGAGTCCATTTCCTTCCTGTCACTGTCAGTTCCTTGTGCACTTTCCTTTATTTCATTTTTCAGAGCCTTCAATTTTCCCTTTATTTTTGTGACCACACTCAACCAACTCTGTGAGCAACCTGATCACCAGTGTTTTGAACTGTGCATCTGATAGGTTGGCTGTCTCTTCATCAATTAGTTGTCCTTTTTCTGGGGCTTTGGTCTGTTCTTTCATTTGGGTCATTTTTTTTTGTCTTGTCCTACCTGTTATGTAGTAAGGGGCAGAGCCTTAGGTGTTCACCAGGGCGGGGCAACCCACGTGGCTGTGTTGTGACGCTGTCTGTGGGGGAGGGTCCGAGAGGGAACAGGACCACTTGCTCCACTCTCTGCTGGTTTTCAGTCACTTCCCCCACTGCCCCCCAAGCAAACTGGGCCCTTCTGGTGCTGGTTCCCAGGTGGGTGATTTGTGTACATTCTAGGACCCCGTGGGTCTCTCCAACAAACTCTCCTGTGAGGTTGGGAGTTTCTCTCACTGCCTCGACCCCCACAGGTCGAGTTTTCAGTCAGAGGTTTGAGGCATTATTTCCCCACTGGAACCTTGGGTCTGTCTTGCTCCCCAGTTGTTCCTCCTGGTTTATCCTCCTGGTTTACCTAGTGAAAGTGGGACTCCAGGTCCTCCAGCCGCTGCCTTGCTGCGAGTCCTCTCTTCCTGGCTGCCCTTCTCCGCCCCTCCTGCCGGTCTGGGTGAGTGTTTCTTCTTTAACTCCTTGGTTGTCGGACTTCTGTACAGTTCAATTTTCTGGCAGTTCTGGTTGTTTGTTGTTTTTAAATTTGTTGTTGTTTTCCTGGTCGTGCAAGGAGGCACAGTGTGTCTGCCTGCGCCTCCATCTTGGCCGGGAGTCTTACAAAGGCTTTATTCTTATGGCTGGCAGGTGCTGCATTCACTGTCAAGTTTAAGGTTCATGCTCAGAGTGCCCGGGCCTCCCCACAAGGACCCACTCGGGTCACGCTGCTCACACCTGTGCCGTGAGTCACTGGGAATCAGGGGCAGGGGAGCCCGGGTGTGTGTCCGGCAGCTGTGCGACCCTGAGCGAGCACGCTGACCTCAGGCAGCTGCCTCTGCACGTACAACTGTGCGTGCATGCTGGGACTGCCGCGAGGGCGAGTGGGCACGCAGAACTGTCTAGAAAGCCGCACAGGGCACGCGAGTGGTACCATTTTGTCATGATCTCTGGCTTATGCTTGCTCCACGCACCTCCAGTGGAGAGGCAGACACTCGGGGCCTCAGAAGAGAGGGAAAGAAACCGAGGGAAGGACACCACGCGAGAAACAAGTCCCGTGTGGAAACAAAGGTTCATCAGCAAGAAAGCATCCCTTCCCAGGACAACTGGGAACCCTGCTCCCAGGCCCCACCCCCTACCAGGGTGGCCGCTCCGCCGGGCGACCTAACACTCACAGTCACAGCTGCGTCTGCAGGTCCCACACACGGAACCACCCACAGACCATCGCTCGGGGCTCTTCGGCGTGATCTCTCGGAGTTCTGTCACGGTGGAACGAGGGGAGAGACCGGGGACCGCGGGCAGGTGCCGGCCGCCCCCCAGCTCTGGCACCATTCTCCCCCTAACGCTGCCTGTCCCTGAAGCCCTGAGCGCCGCCTGCCCCAGCCCGCGGCAGCGGAGCACCCCGCCGGGGAGTGGGGCGGACCCCTGTTCTCGTAGCAGGGTGAACACACCGCACCCACAGCGACGACAGTCCCTTTCCTCTCGCCTCCGACGACCTGATCGCGTCGGCCACAACTGTCACGGCAGCCCCAGGGCCGCCCAGGGTCGGGGCGGGAAAACAGACCCCGATCCCCGCGGGCCGCGTCTCAGAGGCCCTCTGGGGCTGGAGGTCTGGTTGTGGCTCCTCCGGAGGGTGCGGTCTAGCACGCCAGGCCCGCGTGTTCGCGGGGCGACTGGAAACCGCCAGCATCGCACACGGAACCGGGAGAAACGCTGACAAACGGCTGTCCCCACGCGGCTGCATTTCTGGGTGAATCGTGACCGGCAGCGACTGCCCGTCTCGGTGGCTCAGGCACTTGCCGCCTCTAGAACGCCGGGCGGCAAACCGCACTCCCGGACGCTGCGGCTTCCCACCACTGGCGTCCGTTCGTACCACGCTCCCCAGTCCGTGGCCAGCTGGGAGGTTCTGCCAGCCCGGCCGGGCCTGCCTACTGCGGGGGGGCCAGCGGGCCCGCGAGCTGGGGAACGGTGCGTCTAGCACGGCTGCCCTCCCTCGCCCAGCTGTCTCCGGGCTCCTGGCCGGTCCCACAGAGGTGAGCGGGTGGGGCTGTTGCCGTGGCAGCCGGGGGGGGGGTAGTGCTCCGAGCCTTTGGCGTCACTCCGAGCGGGCACGGGGGCACAGTGTCACTGCCTCCGCGTCCTGGTAGCCACAGCAGGCGGCAAGGCCAGGCTGCAGACGGAGGGGCAGCCGAAGCCACTCAGCCTCTGGTGGGGGGGTGGCCAGAGGCACCGCAGAGTCCCGGGTGCCTGGGGGGAGGAGCCGCAGGGGGCGTGGCGCCGTGGGTCTGCCCCGAGTGAATGGAAACCCTCACCCGTCTACAGAAACGCTATCCCACTTCTTCCGCCCCGCCCCGCCCTCGCTGGCCCGGCTCCTCCCCTCCCAGTCTCCCACCCCACCTACGCACAGTGCGTCCCCGCCCCCCCCTTAAAGGTAGGGTACGTCACAGGGATTCCATAAAGCTCCCAGCCCCAGGCGCTAGAGAACACACAGTGATGAACGCAAACTCCTCGGCGTCCGGCGTGAAGCCACGACAGACAGAACACGGGAGTCGGGCCGCCCAGAGGTCGACAGCCGGACTTTAGTGAGTAATTGTGGTGAAAGCGTTTTTGTACAGATGTGCAGGTACAAAGCAGATAAAAAATAACAAAAAGATCTTTCCTCGCCTTAAGTACAACTATAGTTTAACTTGATATACATTTCAAAGTTGGAAAACCCAGGAACTAAGACATTTCTGCAGTTAAACTTGAGGCACACACATTCATTGTCCCAACACGGGAACTACTTGGATGTGCTGCTCTTACCGAAGGTTTGCCTTTTAGAAGTTTTCCCAGGAGGAAACACAAGAAGAAAGTATCCATCTGGATCGCCCAGCAGTCTCCGGACATCACTGAGCAGCCGCGGTCTTCCAACTGCCCGCCACTGACAACATGCAGGAGAGCCACTCGTACTCCCAGGATGTCTGTCTGAAAAAGCCTGAGCATCGCACGAACAGCCCCTCCCGGTGCAGGGGCCGAGGCCCACCTGCCCCGTCCCAGACCCCACACACGGCAGGCCCGCTTCAGGAGGGACCCGCAGGGGGGGCCAGGGGCGGACGCTGGTCCCGGCACGCCCAGCGGACCCCGCTCGGGCTGCCTGGCACACCCCGAACACAGGGGCAGCCCTGCTCCCGGACACCTGCCCATTCAACCTTCCCTGTGGACGCGGAGCCCACCTCTGGCAGCCCCGGCCACCCCTGCAAAGGGAAGGCTCCCAGGGGGACCAGTCCGGAGGCCCCAGATACGTTTTGCCATCACGAGTGGCTCTCAGCGCCCCGGAGAGGCCCGCCACGGGCACCGGGAAGGAGGCCGTTCCGCTCCCGAGGCCGCGCACGTGGGGCACAGCTGGCCCACCCGCTGAGAACCGGCAGTCTCCGTGGTCGCTGTGACAGCCAGACAGCACGCCCGCCCACGTCCCACTACCCTGCGGTGAGTGACCGCCAGTGAGCTCCATGGTTCAAGGTCAGTGTCAGCGGGCGCCGCGGCCTCCACCGAAAGTAGCGGCTTCCTAATCATCTCCGGCAACGACGACCGAAGAAATGCGTTCGGTTTAAAATACGCTGCCATGACACGTTACGTCCAACTGCTGGCAGGACGAGAGGCACGGAGAGCAGCGTGTACTGACTCCCAAACACGCGTGTACGGAGAGCAGCGGTCCGTGTACCACCGGCAGAGCTCCGCGCCGACCCCGGCACAAAACACCGCTCCTCCTGCAGCGAGAGGGCGCGGGGCGCCCCTGCAAATGCCCCTCACACCGACGCGCTCGGGCACTGCTGCTGCCTCTGCTCCAGGACCTGCTGGTTCAGCAGCTGCTGCTGCCTCTGCAGGAACTGCACCACCTCCGGGCTCCTCAGCAGGGACTGCAAGAGAGAGAGCGACACGCTTATTAACGGCGTCACCCCTGCTGCGGACCGGGCCGCATCGCCGCTGGGCGTGTCCCTGCACAGGGCACAGCACGCTCGGCACACGCGGTGCGCCCCAATGTTTGTGCCGGACACGCCACCACCACCACCACCACCGAGCAGTGAGCAGGCACTCGCGGTCGTCCTTCCAGCCCCGACGCCCGAGACAGCGGGCAGGTGGGCGGGGCGGGGCCCCTGGGTGACGCGCACTCGGGGCAGAGGCCCGGGGACGGGCCGTGGTGCACACCCGCTCCTCCGGGAGACAGGGAGCGAGGGCCTGAGGAAAAGGAACTTTGGCTCCGATACATTGAAAAAGATGAACTGAATAAAGTAGAAATATTATCATTAAATACTGATTTTAAAATTTAACACGATGGCATAGTGCATTTTCTATGTATTAGTTTTATTTACAAGTTAGTTGTAAAGACCACCTAACATTTTTAATATTATATTTTATTGATTGTGACATTACAGCTGTCCTGACTTTTCCCCTTGGCCCCCATCCACCCAGCACCCCCCTCCTCAGGCAATCCCCCACCCCGCACTGTTCGGGTCCAGGGGTCACGCGTGCAGGTTCTCTGGCTGCGCCCTTTCCTATACTGCACCCACACCCCCGTGGCTGTTCTGTAACTGCCTGTCTGCACTTCTGAATCCCCCACCTCCTCACCCTCCCCCACGCCCCCCCACCTAAACCCTCTCCGTGTCCATGATTCTGTCTGTGTCCTCCGTGTTTGCTCAGTTTGTTATTATATTCAATTGTTGGTAGGTCTGGAGTTTTTGCCATTTCACTGTTCATAGTTTTGATCGTTTTCTTAAATCCCTTTAACATTTCCCATAATACTGGTTTGGTGATGATGAAGTCCTTTATTAGTTATTTTGTTTTTTTTTTGTCTGGGAAGCTCTTTATCTGTCCTTTGATTCTAAATGATAGCTGTGCTGGATAGAGTCATCTAGGTTGTAGGTCCTTACTTTTCATTACGCTGAATACTTCTTATCAGTTCCTTCTGCCCTGAAAAGTTTCTGTTGAGAAATCAGCTGACAGTCTTATGAGAACTCCTTTGTAGGTAACTGTCTCCTTTTCTCTTGCTTGCTGCTTTGAAGTTTCTTTGTCTTTAACCTCTGGCATTTTAATTAAGATGTGTCTCGGTGTGGTCCTCCCTGGGCCCAACTTGTTTGGGGCTCTCTGTGCTTCCTGGGTGTGCATGTCTGTTTCCTTCACCAGGTGAGGGAAGTTTTCTCATTGTTTTTTCAAACAGATTTCTGTTGGGAACCGCCCTGCCTGGTTTCAGAAGCTGTAACCCCCCCATGGCTAAGGCTGAGTGAGCGACCTTGGGACCATTAGCCACTGAGGAGACAAAGCTTACCCCCCTGGCAGGAGCACCGCCTCTGCCCACGTTACTTCACCCTGCCTGGCCCCCAACGCATGACTGGTTAGCCAATGATGGGTATGACTCCTCAAGGAGGGTACGACCTAAGACAGGCATGGCCATGGAGGGGCCCTCAAGGAAGGACTTGGGGGGCTACAGCAAAAGGGGGCGATGGACCCTCACCCCTCAGCTTTGACATAGCCTGAGTCCTCATTCTGTCTTCGAGAAGTCTCCTAATCTCTTGGCTGCCTTACTTCCCCTGCCTGACTTAAGACCGAAACAATGACAGAGGGTGGTGCAGCCCTGTACTGGAAAGGGCGGGTTCCCCCGTGATCGGGCCTGAGAAGGAATACATAAAATCCTGTGAAATCTGCTTTGCTAAATACCCTCAATTTAAATGATAAGGGTCCAAACATGAAATGAGTTTGTTTCCCCAAAGTTTTATGGCCCTTTAGCTATTTGACCCTGACTCAAAACAGGCCCTCAGAGTTCTGTGAATGTCATCTGTTTGATCATGACTGCCTGACAGTGACTGATGAGCTTTCCATATACGCCCTGTATTCCTATGCAAATTGAACCCAATAAAAGCCTGTCAAGGCAAGGGTTGGGGTGCTCTCCCCTTGAGAGAGTGGCCGCGCCGTCCCTTTTCCTCCCCAGGACGCGGTGGTCCGTGTGAGTCTGTCTCGTCTCATCCGTAACGCCATGGACACTGTGGACCAGAGTACGAGTCAGATTTCCAACTTCTTGCTCTTTCTCTTCTCCTTCTGGCGCCCCCGTGACGCAAACGCTGGGCCCTTTTATGCTGCTGCCTTGCCGGGAGTCCCCTCCGCCCCGCCTGCCTGGCTCCGTCCCCTGCCGGTCTGGGTGCGTGTTTCTTCTTTACCTTCTCCTCGGACTTCCATGCAGTCTGACCTTCTGGCAGTTCCGCCTGTTGTTTGTTTCAAATTGGTTGTTGGCCTTATGTGGAGGCCGTGCGTCTGCCTGCGCCCCCGTCTCGTTTGGGAGATAACGAACAGCTTTGTCGATAGGGTTGTAACCACTAGGCAGACACTCACCAGTCTCTTCTGGTTTAACACCTGCTCCAGGAGTGTCGGTCTCGCCGGCCGGTCCCCGAAGGCCCCCGTCCGCTTGACGATGGACAGTATGTTGTCCGCACTCTCCTGGGGAGGAGGACAGAAAGGCAAACGGGTTAACGCCCAACCAACGGGTTAAGGCACCGGCACTCACGGGCGTCCCAGTGAGGAGGAGGAGAAGGAAGATAGGCCTCCACTCTCCTCCCGTCCAGAACCCGAGGGGCTGTGGGGGAGACCCTGACGAGGCCGCAGGCCGAGTGCCGGTCCCCCCTACCCTTACTCACTCCCCCTCCGGGATTTCCAACCTGGGCTCGCCAGTCTCTCAAAGGGTCTTAACACCCGCTGGGGGGCAGAAGTTGTGTGGGGGGAGCAGAGAGTTACTTGTGAACTATTCTTTTCTTTTTAAATTGATTTGAGAGGGGCAGGCTGGGAAAGAAACATCGATTTGTTGTTCCATTTGTTTATGCACTCACTGATTCTTGTAAGTGCTCTGACCGGGGATCGAACCCACAACCTCGGTGCAGCAGGACAATGCCCTAACCAGCAGAGATCCCTGGCCTGGCCAGGGTGCATTTTCATATTGTAAAAAACGCCAGGTGGAAACTGCACGTTCTCCTCACAGACCGCTGCCCACGCCCAAACGCAGGCTGCTGCCCTCTGGATGGAGCACGGGGGCTCAGGGGCGACTGACATGTTGCTAATGAGACACGCCGACACTTTCTTGCCCAGCTAACAACAAAAATAAGGGGGGAGGCAGCGAAGTATTGCTTAAGGAAACGGCGGGCAGAGTTTTCAAAGTGTGGACGTCACCGGGGGAAGCCGCCACGCGGGTTCTGAACCCTGGGAGACACGGGCAGGACCGCGCCTGCGGCCGCACTTCCCAAACAAACCGGCGGCCCCTCCCACCGAACACGGACCCCGGGTTGGCGGGCAGGGTCTGAACACGTAAACGGTCCGGGCGTAACAAAACCCTGCTCTGGCGGACCGAAACACTTCCCCTGAGGCGGGCCGCGCACTGGCCACAGCCAAACGCCTGGACCTGACCCATACACCAGCGTGGACCTGTGGGCGGGCCGCCCCGCAGCTGGCCCCGCCCCGAAGCTGCCCCCGCAGCCAGGCCCCGCCCTCGCGCATCTCTCCGCTCCGAGTGGGGGTCGTTACCGACGCCGTCCGCTCCTCCCGGCCTCCTCTCCACCGGCCCCTTTACCTCTTTCACTGTAGTGCGCCAACCTGTTTTAAAGATGCTCAACCCCTAAACACTTTAGGCTTTGAAATGTAAAAACCTGTAAAGAGAGGATTCTAACACCCAGAGAAAGGCAAAGCAGCTGCTCCCTTCTCTCCCCACCGAGCTCACTTTACCTGTGGGCCTGCTCTGTGTTCATCGAAGTTACGGAGACAACTGGGTTAACAATGTCCTGTGAATCTCAGGTGCACGGCATCTGTACGCGCGAGCGTGTGGTCGCCCCAGTGTCATGTCCCATCACTGTGCGCCATCCCACCCCTCTACCCCGGTGACCCCCAGTCCATGGGGGGCTGTCCCATTTCCATGCACGTGAGACAGGACATGGACACGGCCTCCACAGCAGAGTCCCTGCACGTTCGGAATGTCAATGTCACAAACCCGCAGGAGCCCGCGGGGGCAGCAGCCTCGAACCATCCAGCCCAAACTGCTGTACATGCTGGAGTTCCTGCCTCAAAGCGTCCGGACGCCGTTGGTCCCGAGCGCGCACGCAGCTCGTGAGGCGCGCCCTCCAGTCCTGGAGAGCTCTGACCGCTGGGTGGCTTCTGCTGGGCTCCGCTGACACGACACATCCCTGTGGCTCCCCCCCCTCCCCCCAGTCCTGGTTGCGGCAGACCTCCGCAGAAGCAGTCCACCGCCCCCTTGGGGTGACGGCCTCTTAGGTACTCAGTGGCCCTGGTTACGGCCCCACAGGTCAGTTCTTTCGTCCCTTGTCCCGCTAGGCGTCTCCCTAGACGCAGCACGGTTCTCACAAGTTACAGCGGCTGAGTGTGACGTGCATTTGTTCCTAGTTACCCTGGATCTGGGTAAGGAAATCTGATTTTCAGTACACTGATCTCTAGTCTCGCTGCTCCGACTGTGGCAGAAACCCCACACCACCACCTGTGGGCCCCACTCTAATGGCCCCCAAAGCGTCTCTGTGTCCACAGGCCCCACCTGTAACCCACCCCAGTGGGAAGGAGCCCCGTTCCTCCCCAATGGAACCCTTCCTTCAAAGACTCCGCACCCAAACCCCAGAGCCCGGCATGCACACCCTACGAAAGCTGGCTTCAAGCCCTCCCAAGTTCTCTCCCGTGAATCTTCCAGGAAGAGGTCCTACTTCGGCCGGAACGGCCCCCGTGCTGTGGTCCTGAAGAGCCTGCCGCACTCCCGTTCTCCCCTCCTCACTAGGATGGGCCCCTCTCTCTGTGAACCTGCCAGGATCCTAGGGGAGCTGCTCCAGTCTGAGTACTGGCTGGCTCTGTGACCCAGGCTGCGCTGCGCGACCTCTCTGTGCCGCAGTTCCCACCAATGGGAAACACAGCACCGGCTCGTGGTGGGGTTCCCCTACCGCTCACCGCTCGGCACGGTGCCTGGTGCACGAGGAACTTGGCCGACCGAGCATAAACCGACGCGTGCCCTCCGTGAAGCCTGCCCCGGGTGTCTGAGCCAGTGCCACTAAAGCAGGGCTGCCGCCGTCCCCGTCACAGCCCGACCGTCACCGGTACTTCCTCCACACTCGGTCGCCCAAGGTAAAGACACACAGCTCCTCAAATCCCTCAGCCGGTGACGTATACCATCAACAGTGCAGGAAAACGGTACAGCACACTATTAGTTCTTGCTTGTAGCAATCAATTTTCTTCCCTAAATTGTTGTGCACATCCTTCCACAACAGGAATGTTATTAAGGTTCTCTCTGTGGGTGGGGAAGGAGGGACTGCGATTCCGTGTGGACCGCCCTCTATACATCTCCTCCCAATGGCGGGCGGAGGTGCTGGGCCGTTGTGACAGAACGCGAGAGGCTCTGGGGAAGCACGACCTACGGTCTCGCCCACTGACTTTCAGTCTGTAGTGAGACGTTTCCACGGGACCCCAAGCTCCTCGTGACCTAAGACTCGGGAGGAGACCGTATTTTACTAGGGTTGCGGACAGAGGAGGCTTGGACCTGGGACCCACGGGCACCCCGAAGCCCCGGAGTGTGCACGCCAAGTTCTGGGAAAAGGGTCCGTCGGGTCGCGTCACATTGCCCGAGGAGCCCTGTCACCCTGCGCAGACTGGGACTCGACGAAATGCGAGGGAACAAGGACTCACTCGGGAGACCCTGATCGGCATGAATTAAGTGCAACGCAGATACTTAGAAACCTACATTTGTGAACAACTGATCGCACAGTCTAAACTCTGAGCAAGGAGGCAGCTGTTGGTTGAGTCCACCCCAAAAACTTAAAATACACCCTACGGGCAGCTTTTGGTTTCAGGTTATTTTCTTAAAATAGGTTATTGACCACTTTGAACAAAATTCCATTTTTCTCTGCTCTGAAGACTGCTAAGCTTTTACCAAAAGGAGGAAAACGCAGTAAGCATGGGCCTCTCTGTAACAACCTCGAAGAACATAATTAAAGAGGACAGAAATAACGGCTCAGGCTCACCCACTGACCCAGCACCTGCCCGACACTGAACCACACCTACCCCCCGGCCACACGACGAACTGGGTCCTATTCTAATACTCCGTTTGCAGGGAAGAAGCTTAAACTTGAAAGGCTTCCATCACCCATCCCCGGGCACAGAGCCAGCCGAGGGCCGGGCGGAGCTGTGCAGGCGGCAGTCCCGCGTCCCCGGCGGCAGCTGTAACTATCCACACAGTTCTGTCCCCACCACCCAAACGTCGTCTGAGGCTTACCCGCCCCCCGCCCCACTATTAGTCAGTTCTTTTTCTCCAGGGGCACTACAAAACGGGCAGTGAGGACAGGGGACTCAGCAGGGGGTTACGGAGGACAGAGTAAGACGTACAGGGGCCCTGGGACCAGGGCAGTAGGAACTGGGACCCTCAAAACGGGATGCTGAGGACAGATGGGTGAAAAGAGCACGCGATGACCCTGTGCCCAGCCCCCACTGCGTCGGGGTTCCTCAGTCTCCGCCGTTCTCCGTGAGGAAAGGACGGGTCAGCCATTTATCCCCGTCCTTGCAGCCCCCTCTCGGATCTCTGCTGTGCCCGCTATTCTGATGTGCACCCTCACCGTCATGGACATGTATTCCTCCGGCGCAAGGATGCAACAGGAGTGCTAAGGCTTTTGCCCGTGTTTGCACGAACTTGAATTTAGGGCCAGCCCCTCCTAACTCGGGGCGTCCCGTCCAGCCACAGCCCCCCAGCCTCCCCTGCCGCTCCCAAGATCCCCCCCCGCTCGGCTGGGATACCTCCAGTTTGGCGGCGCCCGCGCTGCCGGCTGGGGCGGCGCCCGCGCAGTGGAGGGCCTGGTCGCTTTTCTTCTTCTTGTACTTGTCTTTGTACATCTTGTTGCGGTGCTTCTTGCACATCCACGGCTTGCGCTGCTTGGCCACCTGGCTCGTGGTCTCGCTGCAGCCCTCGTAGGTGCAGGTCTTGCTCACGCCGGCCCCGCCTCCACCTCGCCGGCGCGAGGCCCTGCCTCCGCCCTCGCCCCCGGAGTGTGCCTCCTCGTCCTCCAGGTCCTCCAGACTAGCCGTGCTCTCGCCGCCCCCCGGCGGGTCCGAGGTGTCCAGCAGGTCGGCCTCGTCCTCCCCCGCCTCGTCCTCCGCGTCCCCCGCCGTGTCGCACAGGTACCCGATGGGCCCGCCCGCCACGGCGGCGCCCCCCGCGCCTGGCGCCGGCCCCAGGACGCCCTCGGCCGCGCCGTCGTCCTGCGCGCTGCAGGGGCGCATCACCAGCAGGGTGACCTGCGGGGCCGCGCCCGCGACGGGGGCTGCAGCCAGGGCCGCTCCCGGGGCCGGGGCGCCCGGCCCCGCGCTGAAGCCCTGCACCTCCGTGATGCTGAGACCTGGCGGCGGGTCCACGACCCCAACCTTTCAGCGGCCTCCGGGCCCACGGGAACCTCGCAGACCGGACTCAAGACCCACGGCAGGAAAACGGGCGGCTCCGCGAAGGCCACGATCTGCGCCTGCGCGGCGGCGAATCCGGCGCGTTAGCGTTCGTACGCAGGTGCCGCCCCTGGAACCGCCCCTCTGAGGGGCGGGGCTGAGCGTCCGCCGGCGGGACCGACTGCGCAAGCGCGGGTCCTGGTTGGGGCGGCGGGGGGGCTAGGCCCCACGCACGAGTGCGGTGGCGGTGGCCCTGGACAGGACAACACGTGTTTTTGGTTTTGTTTTTGTTTTTTGCAGGAACGTGCCCTATCTAAAGTTTCAAAGCGCTTTTGTAGCAGAACTACACTATGCATCTGTGCCTTTTGCACAGAACTAGAGCAAATAATCCAAAAATTTAGAGGGAATCACTAAACCCAGGGGGCTCTGCATAGGACCTTTTGCCCACCTCTGGTCTATTTTCCACGAAGCTGCTGGAATAATCTTTCTTAAACATAAATTCAATCATTTAACCTCTGCTCAAAATCCTCCAACAGACTGCCACCGGGCCACACTCTGACTCAAGCCTCCCAGGCCCTGCCCGCCCTCCCCCCGCCACCTGCGCGGCCTCACCTGCACCTCCAGAGCCCCCAGCGCTTAGACCCCCCGGCTCACACTGCTGAGACCCCCTGCCGCAGGGCCTTTGCACGCGCTCTTCCCAGCGTGCTTCAGCACTCACGCCTGCGTGTGTAAGCAAGGCCCTCCTCAACCGCCGCGTCTCTAGTGAGTTTCCCCGGTGTCTCTGGCTTCACCACCTCGGTCTCTCCAAAGTGCGCGCTGCACCTGTGACCCCACAGGTCATTTGTTCACTTGTTCTGACGGGCGTTTCTATCCCCCCTGGATCGTCAATGCTGAGAGGGAGGAGCCACACCTGTTTGCTACGTTGTTTGTTTCATGAGTGCCTAGCGACACGAGTGTCTCCCCACCGGCTGTCAGGGTGGCGCCCGTGCCCCCTCGGCGGCGTGCACCCGGCCGGGCTGGAAGGAAAGCAGCCAGCCCCGCCACGGTGGGAGGGCATCTCCGGAGGGCGGACAGGACCGCTCTGCGGCAGTGAGGAGGGGTGCTGCTGGGACTGGCCTCTTACTCCCTGCGGACGTCTGGGCCCGGTGTGGAAGGAGCGGGACCCCCACCCCCACCCCAGGGAGCCAGCGTGCTGTGCTCGCTCAGGGGGACAGGGTTTAGGGCCCCGGGGACTTGGAGAGCAAAGATAATACATCTTTGAATGTGGAGGGGGGGCTTTGTTCTTGTCTTCGTTTGCTGTTCTTCGGGCTGTTTGTGTAGCACAGAGTGTATGCACCTGAGTGTGTGTGTGTGTGTGTGCACAAGGGATTGTGAGAGCCCCGCCCACAGGAAAACCAAAGTGAGTGAAATGCACTTGTCCCGTCACGAAGGGGACACTCTGGAGAGAACAGGTCCCGGGAGGCCCAGGGCTGCCCGAGGATGCGCTCTCCTGCCCTCCCCCTCCCACCCCTGTTCACGCCCTCACGTGCACCCTCGGGCCTCCTGTCCTCAGTGACCCAGCCCCAGGAGACGAGGCCCTGGAGGCTTGGGTCCTGGGTGTGCTTCCCACTGGGAGGGACCCCAGAGGACTTTCTAGAAGAAGGCGGGGTCTGGCACTACTTTGAAGGGGGAGTCTGTCCAATGGGGAGAGGCAGACCCCGGGCGGGGCAGCAAGGCTAGAGACGGTGGTTCCTTTTCCAGCGGGGCTGCAGTTCCCCTTCAAGTGGTGGGGATAGTCCTGTTAGTACACGGGGGAGACTGTCTTCTCTCCCTGGTCAGTCCCGACCGGCAGCCCCAACCTTCTGCCGACCTCGGCCTGATCTCGTGAGCATGGTGCTGCGGTGGGGGGTGGGGATGGGGGGTGCGCAGGGGGCGGTGAAGGCACGTGACCTTCCTCCTGGTTTTTGTCCCCTGAGCCCGTGGTGATGGCAGGCAGGGGCCCGGTGTCCAGACCCCAGCAGGCAGTCCCCTGGCTTGGGGGTGCAGAGTGGCGCTGTGTGTGTGGAGGGACAGGTGGCCTGTGCAGTGGACAGAGGAAGACCTTGTCCCCCACAGCACACCTGAGCAGCCTGCGTGGCCCCTGCCCTGCCACGGCGCGTCGCACGGGCCCCGAGCGACCTTGTCAAACACACTGGTTCTCTGGCCCCGCTGCTGAATGAGGCCGTGGCCCAGGACCCGGACCATTCCCAAGCCTGCAGGCCCCTCTCCTGACCAAGGAAGGGTGGGACTCAGCCCCAGAGGGCGGCGACCCATCGGGGTGGGGGGGGAGCTGCCGTTGGGGCGCCCGGCTCTGACTCTGCCTCGAGAGGACGGGTGGACAGAGAGCGGTGGAGAGGCCGCCCCAGGGGAGAAGGCTGAGGACCCCCCGCGCTAGAAACAGCGAGAGAAGGACCAGGAGTTCGACAAGCCCGACTTCTTTATTCAAGTCCCGGTCTCCCGACCTTTCCGCCGCGACGCGCGCTCACCCCCAGTCGTGCGGTCTGTTACCCCGGCAACCCCCAGTGGCAGATCCCCGTTGACCTCTCTGACCGCGGCCCCCAACCTCTCCGCTTAACCTCGACAGCAAGAACCATCCCGGAGGAGGAGGGAGGGAGGGGCTGCGCCTGCGGGAATGTTTAAAAATACTTTTATTTTCAGGAGCCTGGATGTCACTCCCAGAAGGACAGAACAAAGTGACCCCTCCGAGCAGATGATGCTCGGATGGTCCTGTTGTGTGGCAAACGTGTCCCTCTGTCTTTAAAAGCCACTTGACCCGAATAGCACTTTCTTCCTGGGTGACCAGAATAGCACAAGGTCAATCAAAGGTCGGGGTGATCCCGTGGACGCCTCTGTGGCCCTGCGTGGCTGTCGCGTGGCTTCTAGCGAAGAGCAGGGGACCTGCACAGCTATTCTGAGAACGCACTGCGCCTGCGCGCGCAGCGACTGCGGATGGCGATCCCCGCGCAGAGTTCCCCGAGTCCAGAGCTTGATGGCGCTCAGCACCCGGCGGGGCTGCGCGTGGCCGAACGGGCACATTGTTCACGCACTGTCCCCTGCGGGGCGGCGGCTGTCCGCAGGGCTCACGGCGTGGGGGGGCCTTTCCGGCACAGGACAAGCTCCACGTGGCCTGACTTCCGTGAGGCTGTGGGTCAGGGGGAAGAAACCCAGTCTCCACCACCAGTCCTGTTTTGAGAATGGCGAGCGCACACTCGCCCGTGAAGCGGTGCGTTCTTTATGCCTTTCCAGGTGCTGGGTGGTGTGGCGGCACCATCGATGCACAAGGCGTGTCGCGGCGCCTCCTCTTAAGACTGGTCAAGGGTACAAACAGGAGCGATCCGGCTGCCCCGGGAAGACAGGCCATGTGGGGGCAGCAGTGGGCTCCGCAGGCTGGACCAGCTCCGTGTTTATGCTGTGCGCCATTTCCTTCTGAAATTAAAGGAAACCGCTCACTCTTGAGAAGCTGTCGTTGGTTCGCTTCGTTTTGCCTTTAGGGGCGGCTCGGTCCCTCCACGTGCCGTGTCTGCACTCTCGTGCTCGCCCACGTTCCAGGACCAGCCCTGGCGCTCAGACCCGCGGGGCTGGCCACAGCGTGGGGGGTCCCAGGGCCGCTCAGCTCCCGGCAGCCGCGCAGCTCGGGTGTCTGTATGTACCGTTTGCCGCACACCCACGTCCCGGAATCCTCCAGCAGAGCACGGCGCTAGCGTACAATGGGTCGCCGGAGACACGCGACAGTCGTGGAGCGTCTCTAACGCCACGCACGCTGGCCAAGTCGTGGCTGAGTTTTGCCACCTGATGAGACTGAACCAGCATCGGGCGCCTCCGAGCCTTCACGCGACTCTGCACTAAAACAGCACAGACTAGGAGGCTGGACGAAGGGACCTCCATGAGTGCTGGGCGTTATCACTGGGTAAAAACACAGCCAAGGGACCATCGTCCACGGGCTGAGTTCCTGCTGACCAGCGGCCTGGGTATAAAATCACAGCTTCCTGGTGTCGCTCCTGGAGCCCGTCTCAGCGGTAGTGAGAGCGGTGTCAGGGAGAGCCCCGCCGCTGTGCGCTGTGCGGCGCGGGGGCCGTGGGAGGAGGGAAAGACCGACCGCGAGGGAAGGGAACGGTCGTGCGGTACGAACTGCACCCAAACAGAGACCGCCGCCGCCTGGCTGCGGAGAGTGGAACTCCTCGGAAACCTTCCCCAGTACCTCGTCATCCGCCAGTAAATGCCACTCTCCTCTGCCACAGTGACATTAAAGAAAACATTTAGCGGAGTTTTGCCTCCAGTTTTAGAAATGTGACACGTTAAATCTACATTGATTTAAAAAAAAATTTGGTGTTGCCCCTTTACCTTTTACATATGGAAAATGTCTTGTCATTAACTCGGGCTGCACTGTGTCCGTTTCTGCCGGCTGGGCGGGCTTCCCAGTTTTGTACGAGAATGGAAGGCAGGTTTCGCACCCAGCACCCACTGCGAGGCCCCTCGGGGGACCTCTGCGTCACGTGTCCAGCGGAGCGGAATGAACTTGACCTCCCAGAAGCGCGCTCCGGCTCCATCGGGCGCTTTGCGTGCGATTCTACCGCTCAGCGGTTTGCGCCTGCGTGTCAGCCTCGGGGTCTCCGCTCGCAAAGGTCAGGGATCCTGAACAGGGAGAGGAGTGGGGGCGGGAAGGAGCAGAAACAGGCCTGACTGGCTGGCAAAAACAACAGGGTCCCTTCTCTCCCGAGGCCACACCCCCCATCAGGGACCCCCCGCAGCTGCTGCGGCAGCAGGCCCGGGGAGGGGGGTGGGGGGCGCCGCGCCCATCACGAGGAGAGGTCGGAGAACGTGGACCTCTGCGAGGAGATGCTGCAGACTTCCAGGTTGGTGAGGGAGCTGCCCGCGTCGTCGCCGGGGCCCTCGGGCCGCGAGGGGCCGGAGGCGATGAGGTTTTTGAGCCGCTGGAGGGCCACGATCAGCAGCAGGAGCAGGAAGGCCAAAAGGCTGAGGAACATGGACACGTAGACGTAGACGCTGGACAGGCGGCCGGGGGCCGGGTCCACCGAGGTGGACAGGGAGGTGGGGAACAGCTCGAGGAAGGTGCCGTTCTCCGCGCCCCCCGAGGACACAGACGCAGACGCCGCAGCGCCGGACATCCTGCGGCGGGCGGGGGGGGCGCGGCGGGGCCACGCCGGCCGGGTCTCACGCGGGGGGCTCGGGGGGCGGAAGCGGCATCGTGTTCCCGGGGGCCGCTGCGGCCGCGGCGGAAATGTCAGGCCGCTGAGTCAGCACGACGGAGGCGTCTGGGTTTTCCCGCGGAGGCTGCCCGGGGCCAGGTGTCCGCCGACCCTGGAAAAAACAAAGAAACAAACCCACACGTCTGTGTGTGTGTTACTCAGAAAACGCCCCATCCGCACCCCACTGCGGGTCTTCCGGTCCAGGGGGCTGCACTGGGACGCCCACGGGTGAGGGGTGGGGAGGGGTGGGGAGGGGACAACGTCCCTGGGAGCCGGCCGGGCTCATGTTTTCAGCGCCCCTGATGCTGCAAACGTGAACTTGTACTGTGTCTCCACGGTACTGTGGGGCCAGGTTCCTCCAAGGAACTGAAGATAACGTGACAAGGAGAAATGCATTTCTTTTCCTTTTAGTTTATTTATTTTTTCACATTTTTGAAACTGTTGTTCAAGGACAGCTGTCTGTAGTTCCCGTTCACGGAAAAATGCATTGCTGACGTGTGCCGCCCACTACGATTTCAGTGGGTGCTCCACGGGGGTGCTCTGACACGGGGACCCCAAAAGCCAGCGGCGAACCCCCCTCCGGCAGAAAGTGAGCTCTGCTCATCCCACAGCGCCCGCGCGACCCAGACCGGACTTCCCTCCAGCCTGCTGTGGAGGGTCATTGTGAGACCACTTACAATCTGCCGATCTGTTCATGCAAATGTATCTCCTTAAGACCAGGGGCCATTTCCACCTGTTTCTTTTCCTCTAGATCTACCTACGTATTTGGTTCTGCGAAGAGTGGGAAACTTCAGGTTAACGTGGTGCGGAGGTTGGCTTTCCTCTGAATGGTGGAAAGACGACCAGGTTTGCTCCCAACGCTCTTGAAGCTCTGGCCTGAACTCTTTATCCTGGGGAACGTGGGCAAGTCGCCTGTGTTTTCTGAGCTTCCCTTTTCTCCTCTGTGAACCGTGTGGCCCGGGCCCCGCCTCCTCCCCGGGGTGCAGGGGCCGAGATAACAGACGTGGAAGCACACTGTGAAGTGTGAGGGTGGGGCCGAACCGAGGGTGCGCGTTGCCTGTCAGGGTGCGAGAAGGACCATTCCGATTCCGTCCCGCCTGCAGCGAGGACATGCTCTCCCCCACCCCTGCCTCCTCGCGGGGTCCCTGCAGGACCCCGGGAACAGACGGGGCTGAGACGGGCCAGCAGCAGCTGGGGCGGAGCGCGAGTCCCCGGGCTCCAGGTGCGGGTGCAGCGAGTCCCAGATGCCCTCGCCTCAGTGACTGGAGGTCACTGCCGGCGTCTGGCCAGCCCGCCAGCCCACCACGTCCACCTGGGGGCAAAGGACACGCAGCCTGGGGCAGGAGGCGGGTCCCCACAGGTGACTCTCTGTCTTCCAGGGCTGGACAAGATGCGTTCTTAGCTCTTTGGGGCATCAGATGGTTCTGCTGCAAATCTCGAAACCTCTCCGCGCGAGATGCGGTGAAACGCTCGTGTGTGCGCGGACCTCCCCGCCGCCTGGTTTTCCCTTTTTCTAGACTCCGCCCTGCCCGGTGCCGCAAAACCGTGCCTTGCCCTCCCGCTCTCCGAATCTCACAAGGCGGCTGGTTATCTGAGGGGCCCACCCTGGCTTGGGGCCCAAGCGGAGGGGCACCCACAACCCCTGGGAAGAAGGGACCCTTCTGCGAGGGCCGTCCCTCCCTGGCGTCACCCGGGCTGCGGGTTTCACCAGGCTCCTCCAAGTAGCGTCTCAGTGTGTGGTTCCCGAAATGACTCGACTCCTACTCGTGCAGCTTCGCCTGGTGATTTTAATTGCACTGGGCTGCCCCGGTTCCTCACGCTCCTTAGACGAGAGAGAGGATCACGCGGCAAATGTGTTACACGGATTTGGCACTATCTCGCCTTTTCCGGCACGTACACGTTCCTCTTCAAGGCACACGGAGTCTCGGAGGCAGCGGCAGGTGGCGGGAGGGAGACCAGGGTGCGGAGCTCCCGCACGGAGTCGGAGGACGCGACTCGAGAGAAACCAAGAGGCTCATCGATGTGACAAAAGTGTCGTCTCATCAGAAGCTACTCCAGGGCGGTGGGCGTCCGCACCCCCACCCCTCGTCCCGCCTGGTCTCCACTGTCCTGTTGTTCGGGAGCAAGGCTCCGGCGGCCTCTCCGTCTGGCGTGGGCAGAGGGAAAAGGCAGGGACGACGATGCACTTGGTGCGCCCCACACCCACTGCCGCCCTGGGAGGCGGGCAGAGCAGGGACGGGCACCGTCCCTGCTGCGCAGGGCAGGGGGCCGGGCTGCGCCGGAGCCTGGGCGAGTCCCTCGGAGTCCACCGCTGGGCGGGGGCCGAGAAGCGGCCGGAGCCCACGCCGCAGCTGTGTCCTTAGTTCCCCCAACCCGAGGCAGGGAGGGAAAAAGACCCGGGCGGTGAGCTCCCACCTGCCGCTCACCCGGGACAGGCTCGCGGCTCCGTCCTGACGTGCCAGTTTTCTCGCCGGGACGACGATGCTCGTACTCCCTCCCCTTCCAGGAGGCTCACAGTCGGGATGTGGTCACGTGTCCGTGAGCATCCTCAGCCAACGGTCAGAGGCTGCTGTCCCGGTGGAGTCCCAGCGGGCGGTCCTTCCTGACTGCCCGCCCGGGAAGACAGAGGAACGTCCAGCCTCCTCGGCCGGCCCCGCGGTGCCCACAGGGCAGCCGAGTTTTCCGAAAGCCCCGCTCCGTCCCCCGGTCTGCGTCCTGTTCTGGGGGTGGGCTGTGGCCGCAGACGGCGGCACGGGAGTGTCAGCCCACCGCTGGCGACCGACTGGACCGCTGGTGACGGCACAGGCGTCTCTGCACGCTTGCAATAATAATAAGTTAATCATAATTTATTAACAATAAAGCCAATTATCTTCCCTTTATGCAAAGGTGACTCAGCCGTCCATACACTTGCCTGTTGGAACACGGCTTTTCCTCATCCAAACCATTCTTCGAGAGAGTGGGATTTTGTGTGAAAGTGAGAACAATCTCACGATGACTCTGTGTGTCAGCCCCATAAAAAAAAAACCAGAACCAGTTGAGGAAACCCCCTGAGTCCACCTGCGGTCGGAGACAGAACGGGGGAGAAAGGGGAGGGTGGGGGTTCTGGAGGAGGCCCCGGAGTTCCTGGGGCTGGGCTGCGTGAGGGGGCCGAGACGTGAGCATCCGCAGCCCGCTGGACCCGCCCGCCGCTCAGGTGACCGATGGGGAATACAGTCCGCGCTTTCCCGGGGAACGCTGGCGGAAATGGAAGACATGGCTAAGTAAGCGCCTGGGCTCAGTGAGCTCTTCTCCAACCCACCCCTGGGAAGGCCAGGAGGCCGTCCGGATTCCGCCCAGCCCCCCCCGCCCCCCCCCCGGGCACCCCGTCTCTGGATCTCCCCAACGACTCTGTCCGCCAGTCAGCCGCAGGCGATGGAGGAGACAGATTACTTTGTCCTAAGTCTTTGAAAATTGGCCACCCACACAAGGCATAATTCACAGAATATAACATTCCTGATAGATAAAACTGTGCATTGAGTGAAGTTAAAAACACAGAAAATATTTCGAAAGGGGATATGAACACACCAGTTTTGATCATCTGGCTCAGGTAGCCTGGAGGGAGCCGTTTTGCGGGGCGTGGACATGTAGCTCAGCGCTCACGTGGAAAACCCGTGGGGAGCAGTGGCACGCAGGACCACCCCCCCAGAGAGGTTCACCTGTGGGGAGTCAGGCCCGCATTGCACCTAGACTGCTGTGAGACTTGCTTTTGCTACAACTCCCTCACCCTGGACTGAGGCAGCAAGGACCTACTGCAGCTTCCTAAAGTCTGAGCTAAACCTCCCAGGGATGGAGTGGGACCGGTTCGACCACTTTCCCCTGGGTCTGCAGCACCCTTCTCTTTGACGTAATCAGCAGCATTCTTTCCTTTGCCATCTGTAAAAGGCAGGCAGTCCCCTGCAGTGAGCCTGTGCACAGTAAATGAGGATGACCCTCCACGTGATGTACCAGAGAAGCCATAAAAGCCTGTCCAGGCAGGGACCAGCCCCACCCCTCAGAGAGTGGCCATGCCGTCCCTCTTTCTCCACAGGACTTCTGCAGTCCGTGTGCATTTGTCTCTCCACACACGGACCCCGAGGGCCGGGGTCCACATCAGTAGCCTCCAAAGTATTTATGGACGTGAGGTCCCCGCGTTGCTCTGGCTCAGTTTTCATGGAGAAACCAAACTACCGTATTATTCTTCATACATTTTTGCTATGTTTATATTCTAGGTGAAGATTTTACGTCCAAATCTCTGCCTCAGTAAGGATGATTATTTTTAAATGAGGCCGCCTTGGAATAAGGTGATTTAAATAGGTAGTTTTCGGGATAAAAGGGTCAGAAGTAAAGCCTGGGGAGGCTCTGTCCTGGGCTGGGGGAGACTGGACCGACCTTGGCTCACGGATCTGCCCAAATCAAGGTGAGGAAGCGGCCACTTGGAGGCCGAGGGGCACAGACACAGATGAAGACGACGCCGGACAACGAAGGCCACGTGGAGGCTCTCCCGTGGAGGGCGCAGGAGGAAGGTCACTGGCTGGACACTTGGCTGAGAGAAAAAGCAGACGCCCAGAGAAGTAATGACCTGAAGGTCGCAGGCGAGTGTGAAACGGGTCGGCGGGAAGAAAGAAGGCACGAAGCCAGACTGGCCTTTCAAGACGTCCCAGCATTTTTAACGAGATCTCGTGGGTTCCCCTCTTGCCCTCCGCCCAGCTCGGATCTTTCCCAGTATATCAGGAAGAGCACGTTTGCCCCGGCTGGCATAGCTCAGTGGATTGAGCGCAGGCTGCAAACCAGAGCATCGCAGGTTCGATTCCCAGCCAGGGCACATGCCTGGGTTGCAGGCCATGACCCCCAGCAACTGCACATGGATGTTTCTCTCTCTCTCTCTTTCTCTCTCCCTTCGC